ATGAGAGGTCAGACATCAAAAGACATCTAACCCAATAAAGGGGTAAATATAAATGAATAATTCTTAAATTTATCATGCTTCAATCATATATGTTCTCATGTTTATTGTTCATATTTCAATGCATGAAAAATGTACTAATTTATATGGCACAGATACAGTAATTGCATATAACTACCATATACAGTATGATCTTTCCATATGGGTAAGCTTATCATACAAGCCCTCAACCTCTTTCAAAAGAAACTATATTGGCCTGACATCAAGCAAAGAGTGTTTGAAGCAGCTGCAGATATGCAGATGTGATACAGCTGAATTTTGACGTGTGAGAGAATTTGCCTTTCTCATGGTGCATGTTGGTGTGTCAATTGTATCAGAGACATGGCAAGTCATGATGCATAGAGGTGCATCATGTGTAGTCATCAGGTTAAGAACTAAAATGTTTTGGAATTATGTGATTGTCTGTAATCACTTATTAGAATTAGAGATGGAATGAAATTGAATTTTGGCCTATATCCAATATACCTATATTCCAATATTTAAATGCATATATACCAATACTGATATACTTTTCCATACATTCTAGTCCTAAGAATCAATTCCAATGAAGATATTCATGAACACATAATTTTGCATCATGAGAACTTTCTTGTTTATTGCTTTTATAGACTAGTGAAAGTTACAGAAAACAAGAAATCCATCAGGTTCCCATAAGGAAAAAAAAAGATTGATTGAGAGATTAATGACAATCACAGAAAATTAAATCACAACCCTCTGGTAAGAACATACCATTAAGGAGCAGTAGAGTTGGACATACAGTGTGTCCCAAAAGGTATGGAAACATTTAAAAAATTAATATCTCACTAATTAAGCCTAAAATAAAATGATGAAAACAGTAAAATGAAGTGCAAGTCAAACATTTTCAACCTGTTATTGCAATTCCACATTAACACTCTTTGTGGCTATGTAGACATCCAAACAATGTTCAAGCTCTTACCACAACTTACGCAGAGTGTCATGTATAACTGTCTGGATAGCTGCAACAATGCTGTTCTTCAGATCAGATTGGTGATCACCTGAAGATCACCTGAACTAACCCTTGAGGACTTTTTCTTGTGGGCTATGTCAAGGACATCACTTACTGGAGAAAAGCAGACAATCAATCAAGATCCAAAGAACAGAATCGTCCAAGCTATCATGATAGTTATGCCTAACACTCTGCAAAAGGTGTGGTAAGAGCTCAAACATTGCTTAGACATCTACAGAATCACAAATGGTGCCCATGTGGAATTGCAATAGCAGGTTAAAAAATGTTCAAGTTGCACTTCATTTTACTGTTTTAATAATTTTATTTGAGGCATAATTTAAAGAGATATTCATTTTTGAAATATTTCCATACCTTTTGGGACACCCTGTATATGGCAGGGGGGGGGGGGGCCACTGAAGTGAGGCACTCACCCTTTGCACTTACCCCAGAAGCAGCACATGGAAATGCTGACTGCCTAAAAGGGATGGGAATTGCTGCTTTGTAACCATTTTAGTCCAAACAGGGAAAAAAGCTAAAATTTTGTTTAGAACCTTTTTATTTTATAAAAATAATTCAGGCATGCATTCAGACCTTCAAAAGAGAGAGATGAGTGAATATCCATGAATTACCTTTGTGTTCTTTTGTGCTTGGCATAGATTAGGTATCAATAATTAGTAGTCTAGCCAATATTTGGTGAATCTGATATGTATTTGTTTTATGTAACTGGGTATCCCAAATGTAGTGTCATGCTTTTGAAAGTCCTGAGTATCAGGGTCTGTTGTGCTGTTAACAAGAGAGTTGCACATGCTTTTGTTACACATAAAATGTAATGCCTTCCAAATATCCTTCATCTTGTAGGCAACAATTGTATGTACTGCAGCACCATATCTTTCTGTGAGTACCCATGGTTTCCACAGGAAGGCATGTTTTCAAGCCTGGGACATGACAATGTTTTCATGTGCCTTTTTTCCTTACCTCATTCTTTCTGGTTTTGGTGACATTACTTGGCCATCAAGATCCCAGACTCATTGGCTCCAGATGATTTCTTATTGGGGTGCTTGAAAGGGTGTATTTAATAAATAAGACACTGAAAATTGCTGTAAGACAATTTCAGGAATGCTATGGAGGCTGTCTCCCAGAAAATCCTTGCCACAGAAATGGAGGCAGTTGTGATCAGTACATGAGTGCTGCCTGTGAAATGAAAGATGATTGCAAGACATTCCTTTTCAGGTGTTATGAGCCTGCAAACACCCTTGATAACTGCAAAACATAACTCTTCATACTCAGGAGTGTCACAAGTTTTAACTTAATTTCAATTTGCTTTGTTTTCTGGTAATGCACGCTTAAAATCCTGACACTACTTTTGGGGCACCCTGTATATATAAGCCTGTTTATATATCAGATTCACCTCTATATCAACTGATACCAAGAGCTAATTAAATATCAGTACATCTCTGTTTAGAATATTTGTAAGCCTAGAGTTTTTATACAAGGTGATCTAAAAATACCAAGTGAAGTAATGTATATTTAACATTTTTTGTTTCAGGTTTATCCATTCAGTTTTGAATGAGTGACTATGAAGCAAAAATAGAAATAAACACATTAATTTACTTGGTATTGTTAGATCACCCTGTATTACTTTCATTGCTGAATAACTATGAGCTATTGTGCCAATATTCTTCTTGCATCATCAATCTATTATTGACTTACAATAGGGGAAACAAGAGGGAATGAAACATGGGCCTTTCTCAGAGCTCTGAAATTCCTGGTGGTGGAACAGAAGGTTATCATGTACTACGTGTGCAGGAAAATTCTCCTGGCTCTGAAGCAGGTTTAGAGGCATTCTTCGACTTCATAGTTCGTGTGAATGACACTCGACTTGACAAAGACAATGAAACTCTCAAGGATTTGCTAAAGGACAGTGATGGAAAGCCTGTTAGTATCACTGTGTACAATAGTAAGACCCAGACTGTTCGAAATGTTATGATCACTCCAAGCACATCTTGGGGTGGCCAAGGATTGTTGGGTGTCTCTGTGAGATTTTGTTCATTTGAAGGAGCCAATGAGAATGTATGGCATGTTTTGGAAGTTCACCAAGATTCTCCTGCAGAAAGAGCTGGATTACAAGCATTTTCTGACTATATCATTGGGGCCAATTCAGTAATGCATGAAAGTGAAGACCTCTTCACTCTTATAGAAGCACATGAAGGGAAACCTCTGAAGTTATATGTCTACAATGCAAGCACTGATACATGCAGAGAGGTAACTATCACTCCAAATGAAAACTGGGGTGGAGAAGGGAGCTTGGGATGTGGGATTGGCTATGGATATCTGCATCGCATCCCAGTGAGAAGACCTGAAGAGGACCATTCTTTATCACATCCTGTTCTGGATGCTCCTCATTCCACAACAGCAGAAGTCAAAGAAGTTTTGAATATCCCAGTTTCTTCCGAGAGAGAAGTTTTTCAGCCATCTCCAGTCCCCTCCTTCATGTTCAATACAGTGCAGGGAAGTCCCATGATGCATCTTGAGACAGAGGGTCCAAAGCAAGAAATACCTAAAGCCTTAAAAATGGAAGCAACACCAGGCCATTTTCAACCTCATGAGAGCCATATTTTGGTCTCTGATAATCCTGGAGCTTTTGGTCGTTCTCCATCACCTTCAAAGTTTACAAGTGGTCCAGGTTATGTGTTTTCGCCTCCTGCTCCTTCAATGTCACAACAAATGCCTCTTGGCCCTAGCAGTGCCCAGGTTGTGACAACTCCTGTAGCTCTCCCTGGCATGCCTCCAATTACTGTTAGTACTACCATCCCAATATCTGCATTTCAGGATCTCTCCAGTCCCCAGTTATCATCTACCCCCTCTGTCATGCATGTCCCAGCTCCAGGACAAAACATTCATGCGTAGATAAATGAATCTAGAGGATATTTGTGTCTTGTCTTCATTTTGTTTCAACTGATTAACAGATGATAACTTATCTTTTTTCTCATTCAGAGTGCCTGCCTCCAGGGGCAAGAGTGCATATGGTGTGTGTGAAAAATTCACTGTACATGGAAGGGTGAGGCATTCAACTAGAGAACCATTCTAGTATGAATGGCAGACATACTCTCATGAGGGGACTGTTTTTCTGTATGTAAGCTTTTGAGTAGTGTTGAAATTGAAGCTCTCAGAAATTCAATTAGCAGCAGTTTTTATTTGAAATGAAGCATTTCTATTAAATCATTTGCAAGCATTGACAAGCTTCCAAAAATTGGACTTGTATATGTTCTGTTTACAGATATGCCTTTGAAAGTCATTTGGTGCTTGCTTATTTTCCTCTGAAATTTCTATAGGCTATGGAAGCATTCTGAACAAATTAATATTGTACTAGTATGCAAAAAAGAACTTCATATTTTATGGTACTTCATATTTCTGAGTGACTTTTCATCCCCTCCATTCTTCTCTTACTATGGCTTTCTAAAAGCACGAGTTTGAATGTTGGCTAAGGTTTGCTCTTTCTGCACATGCATGTGGATTGCACAGGTTATGTCTTTGGCCTTAGAAGATTGGTGGCAAGGCTTGCTCTTGTATAGGTCTTTGTGTGATATTTCAGATGTCAAGGAAAATTTATGGATGATAATATTAACTTATATCCAGTGAATATATATTTCAATAAATATTTTGCATCCTTACCAAATTGTTCATCTCACTCAGGCCTAGTTTGATTGGTCAAATAGATAATTATTTGATATTAATAGGTAAAAATGATTACTTGAGTTCCAGACACATAGACACTAGGCTGAGCTGACTGGAACTGGATACCTGTCTGCAAAATTCTGTTATCAGAGTTTCCCATGGTTATGGGATGTTGCAGACTATGTATGTCCAGTGCAGACACTGAATGGAATTATAGGAGAAGGTACCAGTACCATGCTTAACGTATGATGACATTTTCCAATGGATAGTTGATTTTTTCCAACCCCTGTTAGCTTTGATATGAGTGCTGTGTTCCCTTCTAAATAAATGCCTTTTTATTCTATTTTTTGGAGTGTGATTTTCTGCAGTTGCTAGATGAAAGTCCAAGATGTGCAATGAGTGTGTGAAGGAGGAGAGTCCAGATCGTGTAAGTACAATCATGAGACAGTCTTCTTTCCAGATTTGTGGTCTGTGCTAAGAAGTATGGGTTCTATGAGTGTATTTTTTAATTGACTCCAGTTCTCTTGTAGGGAAGAATATGCTTGGAGATTGGAAGCTATCTCCTGAACTTTCGTGCTTGTGCAAACTGTGAACATAAAGGAGAACTTGTTATAGTTGACAGAGAAGTCATTCAAGAAGGAGACACTGAAGTGATTGTCTATGATCGTGAGTTTGTTTGTTCCTATTGTTTATATGTGCTACATGTAAGGCATTAAACCATAGATGCATAATAAATGTGTGGATTTTCATCAGAAGGAGTTATACAGAAAGTACAAAGCTTAAATACCCCATGCAGTGGGAAAAATGGAGTTTTTTTGAGTAAAATTAAGCAGGAAAATGAAATGCTTAGAGGGTTAAAAAGGAATTACAGCCAGATTAGGCATTCCAAAGAGTGAAATGAGTGAAAGTACACTTTTTGTATCTGAAGTTAGTTGATGATGTCATACATAATGTATTGGATACTGCACATAGACAGCCCTTCCCTCCACAGCCTAAACTATATGAGTTAGCTTAAAAAAGAAGATATATTTGGAATCCTTGTTCAAGTTTGATTCTATTCACATGCATTTTGTTGTTTCAGGTGTTGTATGTAGTAAGGAACTTAGGTTAATTGATCACATCTGTGCTATTACATTTTGAGAATCTTTTGATGCCAGAGCTGAATTTGTTACCCATGACTCTTCTGCATGTAGAGCTCCATGTTTCAAAGCTTTGGCTACAGAGCAAATACTGAAAGACTCAGGGGTTCATTTCTTTTGAAATGTGGAATGGCCTGGAAACTCTCCCTATCAGACATGGCTAAGAACTATTGCAGCTATCCTGAAAGATCAAGTTGAGGCTCTCATGCAGCACAAATTCTCCTGGGAAACCTTCCAAAGCAACATCACCAGAGTGTTGCAGGACATGCAAAATGACAGAACTCTTTAAGCATCTCTTGTCATTTTACCCCACTCCTCTTAAAGCTGTCAGAGACCTAGCTGGGGGGGTGGGGGGCACACAAATTACTAGAAATACATTTTTAGATTTAAAAATTAATGCACTTTCTCATGATATATGTTTTTTTTTCTAGCTCTTGTAGTTTAGGCTGTGATGGGGGCTATATATATGCAACACCCAGTATTACATTTATTCTGTCAATTCTCAATATGGGATTGCCTACTGGTTACAATTTACTTGAACTAAAAGTAAATGACTTTAAGTACCGATTATATTCAAGCTTAAGAGTAGCCTTAATTCTGTGACTTTGTTACTTGTAAGGAATTATCATCCAACACTGATAAGGCAAATGGCTATTTTATTCCAGATCAGTGTGGGGAATGTGGACATGTGGTTGCAAAACATCATTACACCTTCAACGTAATGGAGGAATACCAGGAGTATGAAATGGAATGTGTGTTGTGTGGTATTGCAGAGGACTCCATCAGTATCACTCCTATTGATCCTCGTCATGAATTGCAGTTTTTCTGATTTTCTCAGTATGATAACATTTTGTGTCACTAGTCAACATCGTATCCAGTCAAGGCTCTTGTGGCCTTTTTCCAGACAGAGATTTCATTTCAGACGTCAAATCAGTGAACTGTCAAGTAGGAAGCCTTTATATTTTGCCACACCAATATTTTACATCAATGGTGATCCTCATATGGGTCACTTGTATACTACAGTATTAGCAGATGCAGCAACAAGATTTCATAAGCTTTGTGGAAGAGATGTGAGGCTTTCTACAGGAACTGATGAACATGGAACAAAAGTCCAGAAGGCTGCTGTCAAGGCTGGTCTTCCCTTGAACCAGTTTTCAGATATTGCTTATGGCAAGTTCCTCAAGATGTTTCAGTTGTTTGACATAGGATACACTGAACTAGTTAGGACTAGCAATTCATGCCACCATAATGCTGTTGCCCACTTTTGGATGACCCTCATGTCTTCAGGGCTGATTCGCAAGGGCACCTATACTGGATGGTATTCTGAAATAGATGAATGCTTTGTGCCTGAGAGTCAGATTGATCATAAAAAGGATCTAGCTGGGAACATTCAGACTGTATCAAAAGAATATGGAAACCCAGTAGTGTGGTGTGAAGAAGAAAACTACATCTTCAATCTTTCACATTTTCATGAACCCCTAAAAAAATGGCTTTCCACTGTGGAAATTTACCCCCAGCAGTTCCATGACCAAGTTGCAGATATGCTAGAGGGACCATTGGGTGATTTGTCCATTTCCCGTCCTACTGAACGCTTGATGTGGGCTATCCCAGTACCAGGAGATCCATCACAGACTATCTATGTGTGGCTTGATGCTCTTGTCAATTATCTGACTGCCTCTGGCTATCCTGAACCTTTAGGATGGTGGCCTCCCATTCATATAATTGGAAAAGACATCCTGAAATTCCATGCCATCTATTGGCCAGCATTTCTCCTGGCTGCAGGTATTCAACCTCCCAAGACTATCATCTGCCACTCTCATTGGCTTGTGGATGATAGAAAAATGTCAAAATCTTATGGAAATGTTGTAAAACCAGGGGAGTTATTGGATAAATTTACTTCAGATGGTTGGAGATATTTTCTCTTACGGGAAGGAGTGCTTTCATCAGACAGCAATTACAATGCAGAAAAATTGGCCAGGATGCTGAATGCCGAACTGGCTGATAACTTGGGAAATCTTTTGCGGCGTTGCACATCTCACCTGATTAACCCTGCTCAAATATTCCCATACTTTGATGTTAAGAATGTGAAGGGAATAGGAGAAATCGGAGAAAGTCTCATACAAAGAACACTGGAGCTCCCAGAAGCTGTAATCAGTCATTATCAAAGCTTCCACTTTTACAAGGGACTTGACTGTATCCAGACAGTGTTAAGACACTGTAATCAGTTCTTTCAGGCCTCCCGCCCATGGGACCTGGCCAAAGAGAATCAAGACCTCCATCTTTATCAAGTCCTATATATCACTATGGAGGTGCTTCGAGTTTGTGGAATTCTTCTTATTCCTGTGGTGCCAAACATTGCCCTGGCCTTACTGAGGAAATTAGGAGGACAGGGAAAATACAGCATTTCACAAGTGCAGCCTTTCTTCCGGGAACCATCTCATCAAAAAGCTGTGGATATATCTGTTGAAAATTTTGTACTTTTTCAGAGAATAAAGTAAACTTGCTGGTAGCAGAAATGACTTCCCATGAATCGAAAACAATAATCAGTCATGGTTTCACCTTGTTGTTCAATGAAACGGCCAGGCAGGAAGCCTATTAGAGGAACCAAGGCCTTCTCTTTCTCTCCCTTCCTTCCATTAGACTTCAGTCATCCTACTTGTTTTCTAAATGCTGGGATTTCTCCATTGAAATTCATCATAATAGATGGGAGAGCTCATTGCCAAAGGCAGCCATGTAGTTCTGCAGAGGGAGGACTACTTTCAAGTGTACAAGATTTCAGACAGGTAAGCCTGTATATCTAACTACTGACTGATTATTTCTCTTGACAACAATGATTTAATATGGATGTGTTATGGAGTAGGCTTATATCTCTGGGAAGAGAAAAGGTACAACTGAATTGTGTAGTTGGACACCCATATGGTACAACATTCAAGCTTGTTCGGCCCGAAGGAGATACTAAGTGCTTTATGCTGGAACCAACCTCTTCAGCAGAATTTTCCTTCTCCCCATCATTGAAAAAAAGTGAGTACTTTTCTTAGATTTTGTAGCACCTTTGGCATAGTATTGATATTTTATCAGTTGTGCTGTATCAGCAAAGACTCACTTTGATATAATATTGCAGACAGTAATGAGCAAGACAATCGACACATTTTGGACCGTTCAGACAGTCAACGACTCACAAGAGAAGAAATTGAGAAGTTGAAAAGTCAAGGTGTTCTGGGATCAGAGATGGTTAACATACTGGTGGAAAATAGTGAGTCTTTTGCAAGAAAGACAGAGTTTTCCCAAGAGAAGTACATGAAAAAGAAAGGGAAAAAGTACCATGGGTTTGTCACTCTTCATCGTCCAACTATCCGTCTTTTGGCCAATGTCTACTACTCTCATGACCCTCTCAAAATTCTGTAAGTTATTCCATGTATGAGTCAGAGCTAAAACCCTAATCAGGTTAATAAGTGATATAGGTGAAAGCCTTGATTGCAATTTGATTTTAATTAGGGTTGTGCCAATGCACTGGCAACCACCTGTATTGGCCACCTGTTTGGCACCCACCAGTTCTGATCAGTCTGCCATCAGTAGGTTTGCTCATAAGCATAGTGTGGATGGAAACATGTGGAGGGGGCACTGGAACTCTGGGATACTATTGTCATGCATTTCTGGGTCTTTTTCTTCTTTATTTAGAAAGTGGCATGTGCCCTCCCTGGGCTCCTCATGCTACACCACTGGGTTTTATAGCTGTTGATGCTGATACCTGAAGAAGATCATGCCAAATGAAGAAAGATATTATATTAACTCTGCTCAATAAGTGACTCTCAACATCAATAAGAAAGAGTCACCATGCATTGGTGATGTTGCTATGAATAGATGCTTTTATTACCCATCACAATGGTTACATGAAAGATGACTGAATCCACTGACATACTTCCCCTTCCCCCCCCATGATGTATTGGTGCACCTTAAGATTAAGATTAAATTCAGGTTGATCCATCAACACTTACAAAACAACCATCATGTAACCCTAAAAAGAAGTAGTGAATGGATTCCTATTAGAACTATTTGAATAGAGATTTGTTGTTCTTTGTATCTAAATGTCCACACTGAGCCTTGGCCCTGGCTGATGTCTAAGATATAACAGCAAGACCTTTATAACTGGTTGGCATACCAGTCATGGTTATAGTTTTCATTGTTGTTGAGCTTAAAAAGGTGTAGCCTGATTGAAAAATGCAACCACATAGATGAAATGAACACTGATCCTTGAGAATGCAATTTTTTTTTATGTAAGGTAAGTCTGAACACTAAATTCAGACACATCAGAAAAAAAAAACAGTAATCTGCTCATTGCATGTGCATTCTACACTGTGATTCATAAAATTGCGACCCCCTAAATATTTTATTAGAACTCTTATATTTATTAGTCCATTTTCATGAAATTATGAATGATTGTAGTTCAAAAACAAATAATCATAATGATAGGCACAGTTCTTTTAGTAATCTCTTCTCTCTATAATGTTTACTCTGTCTTAAACATTTGATAACATGTTTGTCTTCTTCACTGAATGCCATTTTTCAGGGTATGCTGCAACAGATTCATAATGATGTCATTAATCATCATCATTAACTAAGAGTGAACTTTAATTTTCAAATAATTTTCATAAATACAAAACTTCTTTATTAGGCTTGTTATATTTAAAATTTCATGTAAATGGACTAATAAATATAAGAGTTATAATAAAATATTTAGGGGGTCCCAATTTTATGAATCACAGTGTATGTAGCAGTACTCTGTATTCTCCTAATTTCCTGTAGAATAGGAATTGAAAACAGAAATGACCAATACCTAATGTAGAAGCATTTCTCAAGTTGAACATTTTCCTGAATTTCTCCTGTCTGTGATATATCATTTACTAATATTTCAAAATATTTCAAAATCATGCAAAATGATCATGGTCACTGCATGTCTTTTTCTCATTAATTTGTTAATTTCATGCTAGGAATGACAATTTCAGAGGGTGACCTCACAAATGCTTAGTTTGGTAACAATGTGTGTTATAGGGTCTGAACTTAGGTATTGTTGAAACATACATGGTTTTACTCCACTATGAATTCTGCAAGATTTCTTCATGAAATAAGAGTGTCCTTTCACTCTACCGTGCTGGAGCTGAACACAAGGATATATTTTAATTTATTTTAATATGATGGCTGTTTAAGGAATCATACTTTTTCTCAAAAAAGCTAATTTGAAATTTGGCCCTTCTCTTGAGATAAGTTTGTAGCTAAGTAAAAACTCTCTCATTAATGGGAAGCTATGATATTGCCTGTGGGTGGCAGGAATTTTCGTGTGGACACTCTTGCCCAATGCATGTCCTTGGGTAATGTCCAGTCTGGAGGTACATATATGCTCTATGAGACTGGAACAAATGGTCTCCTATTGGCTGCTATTCTTCATGCCCTTGGAGGTTCTGGTCATGTCATCCAGCTTCACCAAGGAGACATCCAGAGGTCAATCTACAACAGCCTGATCTGCCTATGCTTTTTGCTTAGAAGAATAATAATAAAAACCTTGACTTCCAGGGAGGCAGTGAAGGCAATGGATCTCAATGAAAAAGACCTACAGTGCCTCCATCAGGTCCATTTCAAGTCTCTTCGAAGGATAGAGGATGATGCAAGCCCCATGGATGATGAAGCAGAATCTGCTGACGCTGAGGTAGCAGTGAGCCTTAACTGACTTTCTCATGGAACAGTAGCCTTTCCAAAGCTAGGTCCATCCAAACCAAATGGTCTAGAGAGCCTTAACATGTTGTTTCATTAAATTTGTGGATATTGGACTATTTAGAGATGTCTATCATCTTCATTCCTTGAAGACATGAAGGAATGAGAATGTAATTTTTTTATTATGAAAGAACAGTTCTTCCATGTTGAGTAAAGAGTACATCTCAGATGTAAAGAGTATTTGCCAATTTTTCACATTTGAGTGATTTTCTATGTTGAACATTTAAAGAAATGTGCAAACTTATTATTTTAAAATATACAGGGTGAGTGAAAAGTCACTGGATGACTTTGAACAGCTGTAACTCAGCAAGGAAGGCATTAATTTGCAAACAGTTTTTTGCACACTTAAGAGCATGCATTAATTGCTGAAACAACATGGAAATTTCCATGAAATACCAATAAGAAAAGGATGGGCCTGCACAAAACAAAAAGCAACATTGCTCAACATAAAAGTGATATTTAGGGTACAATGGACACCCTATTCACAATTATTTCAGCAAATTTTTGCTACTCCAAATGGTTTTCTGATAATGCTGATGAACTTTTTTTTGGAGGAACATATTGCCATCCTTAATTTACGCTCAATCTGTGAAGGAAATCTTTCTGAAGTGAAGCGTCGTTTTGCTTTGAATGCTGGTTGAATAGGCCAGGTCTGGCCTATCGAGTGGCCTCCCAGGTCACCGGACCAACCTGACTCCACTCGACTTCTGACTGGGGTTTCATTTAAAGACCAGGTATAACCTAAAAGTTCACTCACGATCATTGAATTGAAGCAATGCATCACTGAGAATATTGCTGGAGTTGCCTTTCAGTGACATCTCATGTGATTGAGCTTGATGGTGCTTAATATAATAGCCAGTAATTACAGTCATTTTTATGCCAAATAAATAAATGCTTTCCTGTTTTGATGTTGCATGTTTGTTAATTATTGCAAGCTCTTTCCTATGCTAAAAACTTTGCAAATTAATGCCTTCCTTGCCATGTTATAGCTGTTCAAAGTCATTCAGTGACTTTTGACTCACCCCATACTCTCAGAACATGCCACAACCAATGCTTTCCTGTCATATAAGACACAAAATAGTCCTGCTTACTCTTTGTAGTACTGTCATTGAAGGGTGACTTGCACTAATTTGTGGTTTTCATTTCACCAGTAGAATGAAAATGTAGAATGAAGATGGGTTCCCAATTATCACAGAAATGTGGCCACAAAAACAAATGACTCATTAGGTTTCAGTGTTGCATCCAACAATTTTCTTTACATTTGGATAAGATCAAACAAAAGAAAGGATGTGGGACATTGGATGATGGAATTTTCATCCAGTGCCTTAGAATGAATGTTGTAGATATAGGCTGATTTGTCATCAGTAATGTTGTTAAATGTACCTAGTGTATCAATATAGTTGCAAGTAATTCAATATGTCTTCCTGAATTTTCGCATGCAATCTATTCATGCATTGAAATTGAAATTCTTTAGAAATTGCGGATAGCAGAATGATCAACGTGCAGATTTAAACCATTGCTGTCCACACCTGAGTTATCTCATGATGGCATAATGTCTTTCACTCACCCACACCCAAGTTATCTTGTTTCAAATATTTACATTCAAATATTCAAAATATTCAAAACTGCAGTGCTCTAGATAGGATAACTGCAGTGTTGTACATTTTTATGCAAGGGATGGAGAAAACTCAATTGACAGTGGCAACATATTTAGAATACTTGGATGGCAATGGGTTAATACTTTCCCCAGACCAGAGGTCAGGAAAATCCTCCCACCCAAAGGGAGGGATGCTATTTGACCACCTGTCATGGGTATACTGTAACCATCCCAACAAATGTTCATCCCACTGCAATGCTGAGATGGTGTTCATCAACAGGGCAAGAGCTGCCTGTGCAGGATTTTCTTATATTTCCCACTAGTTTGCCAAGAAGAGAGCTGAGGAAAATCTCATCAAGACATTTTTGAAAGCAGGTGTGGATGGATTGTTCCTGGTCACACGCCATCAACCATGTCCTATCCTCATTTCTCTTTTGCATTACCTGAAGCCCTCTCGCCCTTTTGTTATCTTCTCTCAGTATGAAGAGGTCAGTTTACCATGGTATGTGACTTGTTTGTGGAGTGCCAGTCAGAATTAAATCCTTAAAGCCATGACTTCATTCCTGGACTACAGGCAGGAACTGTATTCCATCTGTTGTCTGAGAAGGCAGCCTGAAAGACTGATGGTGGAGGAATTCATTTCTGGCCAGTACTGCATAGTCCCAAGCAAAAAGAACTTACGGTTTGGGAATGGCTCTGGACAAAGTGGCTTGATTCCCCTGAAATTTACAACAAAGGGCATCTGTTGTATGTCTCCCATGTCTAAAGGAGGAAGTGAAAATGATATTTGAAGTTTGAAACTGGTCGGTTGCTTTTTTAATTTAATATTTAGTTTCCTTTGTTCATACTGTTAATTATTCTCCTCATTTTGTTCACTTGAAATTCCCTGTAAAAGGGAATTTTTTAGGTTCTCTTTTCAAACCTTAGTTGCATGGGACCTAATCCTCATTCATTTTGGAACATTAAAGGGGTCACAAACATTGGTCCAAATATTCTGTTAGCAGCACACTGGGATGTAGCCTTCTTCATTCACAAGGTTTAACAGCCTAAGTAGCATGTACATCTAAATTATGTCTATGTGATGGTCATCATCATGATGTCAATTAACTAGTCATGTTGCAGCATTGTTGAATGGACATCATGTGTTGTTTGGGAGTGCTGTAATCAGGTAATTTTGTTGCTACTCGTGTAATTCCTGAAGCTGAAAAAAATCAATGAAATGATGCTTTGTATATGTATTGCTCAATTTATGCTTTCATATATTCACTCCCATTTATAGACAGGTTTTCAATACATGTTGTCTGGTTGTTTATTCTTATGCCCCTATACCAAGCTGCATGAAACCTATTTGGAGTTGCATTATTCACATGTTATCAAGGCAACCTAAAGAATTGAGGCTATTTTGGTAAGCAATATTCTTCCAATAATTCTTGCATACTTCATCCTGATGATTCTCCTATGTGCTTCACTATATTACATTTTTGGGTTTGAGAAGAAAGTCATTCATTACTTGTAAAACTGTTATTCACATACCTCTGTTCAATTTAATGACAGATCAGCAAATGGTGTCTTCATCTTTTGTTTTTTGGTTTGCTAATCGAGATAGTGGGACAGCTTTCATATAAGATGAGACCTCAACAAAACAACAGCACCAGATGAAATGGATTGGAGACAGATGGGGGGATATATTATTATGAGGAAAACAGAGGAGGTTTGCAGAGTGATGTACCTACATAAAACCTTCTGCCCTATAGGATGTTGTTGAGAATATATCCACATTCTCTTCCTTACTCCTCCCTTGCACTCATGTCACTTGCTTCAAAGAGTTTTTCCCCCTGTTACTGGCCTTCAACAGCAATGAGCACAGAAATGTCTGTGAAAAAAACACCATCAGTCAGAGTTCGAATTTATCTTATCTTATTCCATAATGACCTATGAGAAAAACTAATTATTATTATTATTGGTTTTTTGTTTCTTTCTTTTTATAAATTTTTAGTTACCTTTAACTGTCTGCAATATACTTAGCAGCCTATTGTTTAACTTTAATTGTTAAAGTAATAAGTTTCAAATTTTAAACTCCAAAATGGTGGAAGCTGGTAAACTGAAACTTGGTGAAATGATAAGTTACATCAGTATTTTTTCTGAATTGATTAGATGGTGTGGTAACTGCATAGACTTCCATATAACTGTATCTTCCATATAACTGTATCTTAGAGCCAGGAAAGCAGCACTGATGCTGTATGGGTGGTAGCATCTGTGAAGCAGTATCTATGGTGACCAGTGGAATGATAGATCATGTGTTGTGAATTTCAAGGGGGTTAAGAAACCATGCAAAAGTCATTTGCAAATCAGAACTTCATTCTGCCTCGGACTCTACATGATGAGTCAGAAGCTACCAATGGATCAATTGCTTTGCATTTTTCATTGTTTTCATAACAGCTGCTGGCAGAGACTTATGCAAACCTGAAGACCAAGGAGAAGAACGTAGTACACATGCGCTTGTGTGAATCATGGTTGCGTAGTTATCAGGTTTTGCCAGAAAGGACTCATCCAAACATTACTATGAGTGGTGGTGGTGGTTTCCTTCTGTCTGGATATAAAGTTATATCTTGACTGTATTATTCTCCCTCCTTGTTTTGTTACAAAGTATATCAAAGGTTCTTATGTAGTGAGTCCAAATTCCTATCACAGCCATTCTCCTTCTCTGAGAGATGAGAAAGAAAGGGATATGGGTGGAAAGTCCCTGATCTGGCTCTTTTCTGTTCTTGAAAACAATTCATATGGCACTGGTTGGCTCATTGAGATGAAGAGATGATGTATGAATCCATGATAATGTGTATTTCACTTGGTTAGGGTTAAGGATGTCTGTTTGCAGGTAGAGGAGGTGGTGATGACCTAATGTTAAAAAGAGGTGTTTCCCTTGTACCCGTAGCAATGTTGGTATGGAAATCCTGTCCCTCTTCCTTATATTTCTTCACCCAACCATTTTCTAGTGTTCCCATTCGCAGGTTTGACCCCTCTTTCTCTCCCTTCCCTTGCCAACTCTATCTCCATTTTCTTCGGAGGATGGCAGGGAAGCGAGTGCATTCATCCTCTTCCTCCTCTGACTCTGACAATGAGCATTCTTCCAAACAAATATGCCAGCAAGATGAGGGAAGTTCAGATGTGGATATCATTTATGAAAAAATAGGAAACTCTTCAGATGGATCGAGAGAATCAGAGAGCCACCCACAATCAAGAAAAACAGTGGCATCCTGGCTCAAAGAATCTTTGGCCAAGCTCAAAGAAAAGGGAGAGGATAGAGATGAAATAGTAATCATGGGTGAAGTGGGACAGGGCCTCTCCCCTAAAGATGCCAATATGAATGCATTTGGCCAGACGTCTGGATCTGAGAGTCTTCACTTGCCTGAATCTACCTCAAATACTCCACCACCCATGCCTCTCATGGGGGTTGACCTAAGTGCTCACATTCAAAAGCACTCAGAATCTCCAAGTACTGATGTTCAGAATAGTGAAGCTGCCTTTGATAAGATAGCAAAGGTTCATGGATCTGCAGGTGAGAGACAATAATAGGATTTCTTCTGTGCTAGAAAAAGCACTGTATCAGTAGTTTTTGCTTATCTGCAGTAGATAACCCAAGATTAGCTCCCATGGGGGCATAATGCATGGCAAAGTACTGCTGCATACAGCTGCTTTCCATGCTTCCTCAAAACAACACAAATGCAGGCTAAGACCCGTCGTAAAAGATACCCTAAAGGTAATCTTACCCAAAACCACTTTGTTTCAGTTGCCAAGGAAGTCTTGGAACTGAGGAGGATGCGAGAGTGGGAGTACACCAACTTTGGAAAGCAAATAATCTCCAATCGTGAGTGAAGAATGCTTTGGTCCTGCATGGATGTGTTAATGCATATAAATACTGTTATGTAATGATATCCTCTTTTCTTTGTAACAGAGAGCCTGAATGAAGTACCCCAGGTATTCACTGTGATGTCATACAATGTGCTTGCACAGGATCTCCTCTCGGATCATATGCATTTGTACAATTCTTGCCCTGAATCTTGTCTTCCTTGGGAGTTTCGATGGAAGCGAATAGTGGAGGACATCCAATACCATTGCCCTGATGTAAATTTTATGCTTCAGCCTTTTTTCTGTTTTCTTTTTGCTGAGTAAGACTTACAATGTTCTCTCCTGTGTGCAGATCATGTGCTTCCAAGAAGTTCAAGGAAACCATTACACTCAAGAATTCCTCCCTACACTGAAAGCACTTGGTATGCTCTTCTGTCAAATGGCATAATTATATTTTTTTCCATTAGAGATAAATGCATATCTTTCAATTTCCAGTAGTTAGTTGTCAAAGAGTGTCTGTTCACAGTGTTTTTGCACCATAATTAACTATGTCTATGATTTCGAAAGTCCTCTCTGGCGGTACAAAAATCTATTAATTTTTATTTGCCCAAGTTTTTTGTTAAAATTCAGCATCACCCAATTGACCAATATTTTTAGCACAATAATTTTTAAATTATTGTATTTTAGTTCAAAAATTTTCACAGAATTCAAATCTACAATAAATTTAAAAAACTTGCCCTTTTTTTTAACTAGAATTTTCATTTTAGAAAAAAAAGCTGCCATTGTATTGGGTAAAGATACTCTAACTTCAGTGCTTCCTTAGTACTTGATTGCGGTTTTGATAAATATGAAGATGAAGAATGAGGCACGAGGAATAGATTGTTGGCTGTTTCTTAATTGCCTTTTATTTGTTATGTTTTTATTTATATTTTTCCCACTTCTTACTGGAGGAATGTATGTTGTTGAAATGCTGGCTTGGTTTGATCTGGCAGGTTTAGAGATCTGCTAATTTCATTTCTGAGCTATTTCTCTGAATTGCTTCTTATTGCAGGATATGCTGGAATGTACAAGCAAAGGACCCATAACAAAGTAGATGGTTGTGCTATTTTCTACCTTGAATCCAAATTCAAGCTTGTCAACTCAGCAGGTGTGGAGTTCTACCAACCAGATGTGTATGCTCTCAACAAAGATAACGTTGGCCTTATTGTCTTATTGAGGTTGAAGAATTCAGGATCCAAATTGAGCACGCCATTTGCCGTTGCAACCACACACCTCTTGTACAATCCCTACCGACATGATATCAAGTTGGCCCAGCTCCAGGTTCTGTTTGCAGAATTAGATCGATTGACCTTTCGTGGGATGGATGGGAAACGGCCCTCTTTCTTCCCCATCATACTCACTGGAGATATGAATTTTCAGCCATCCAGTCCTTTATTCAAGTTCATCACTGAGGGAGAGCTTCAGTTTGAAGGATGTTCAGCCCAATCCCTCCTGCCTAGCACAGGTGGTCGCGTGCTCAGTGCTGAGCTCCTCCCACAGAGCCTTGGTATCACTGATCAGTGCCAGTACATTCACATTGTGAACCAAAGGACTCCCACAAAGCACATTATGCATGATGTTCCTCATTTCAAGGCAGGGAAATTTCCCATGCCTCAGTATGGGCCTCCTCCTGGACTAAATGGTGGGATGTCTGTGACATCAGCCATGAAACCTCATGTGCCATCTGCTTCAAGCCTTAGAGATTCTGATCCGGCCATTGTGTATCATTCACCACCCATTCAACCAAGGTTCTTCAGCACTGGGGCACTTCAGCATGCCCTGGATCTCACCTCTACTTACAAATTGTACTTGAATCGTCTGCCTCGGAGGCCTCCAGCCGTTACTACTTCCCATGGACGTTGGGTCATGGTTGACTACATCTTTTACAGGTTTACAGATTCTTGATCAGTGTCCGTAAGACATCATGTGCCAAGCAATTGTGCCTATTGTTGTGTTTCATGTTTGCAGCACACCTTTCGATCGAAGGTCTGGGAGGAGAAAGGAGGGGAAGCTGCGACTTGTTGGAACATATGGACTCCTTTCAGCCTCAGAGTGCCAGAATCTGGGTACCATGCCAAATTTTGCCTCCCCATCTGATCACTATCTACTCTTGACACAGTTCTTCCTTCATTCCTAGAGGCTAGTCCAGGCATTTCTTGGAGTTGATGACAACTAATGTGCTGCTAGTCAAGGAATTTGTGTCTTTTTGTAGTTGATATTTTCTGTTAGTGTCCCTTTTTATGTTGGCATTCTTTAATCCCCTAATTCTTCTTTTCATCTTGAATACAATTATTCCTTTCCCTGTGCAAGTCATCAAGTTCATCATATAACTTAGGACATTTGTTATTTTTTCTCTCATAATGGTGAAACATACTTGCAAACATATGTACACTGTTTAATTCTGTAGGGATATGACATCTCTGACCATTGTAGGCAAGACTTTCTCTTCTCCTTTCCTCCTGTAGTCTTCAATGGAAACATCTCTATGAGAAGGGTTGGAAATTTTCCAGTTTATTTTTTTCTTATTGATCGATACAAGTCTACTTTTATTTTATTAATGTGTTACCATGAAGTAGCCCAACAGGAGTTTTGTTTCATGGTGGGTGTGATTTGAATAAAGGTTCAATTCCAGCCAAGGAACTTCATTTTCATCCTCTTTCTATTGCTGACTGATGTTTCCTTTTTAAAAAAAATATATATATCTAAAGAAACACACTCGAAGCAGATCTGCTTTACTCAAGGAAATTGAGTTGCATCCACTAAGATGCTTAACTCCTCCTGGTTGGCAGAATGTAGATATAATAAACAATAGAGAAATAGTGCATGCATTTGTGATTTTCTTTTTGGTTGCAACTCAGTTTGGCCTGTCGAAGAAAGTGCATTCCTGAAGGCTGCAATGGTACAATGAGGTGACTAAGGATTAGTGAAATAGGAATAGAAAATAGTGGTGCTATGTGGTGGCCTAATTACCTGATTAGTAACACAACTTGCTTTGAAACGACATACCGTTTTCTCATTTTATGCATCTTTGTCAATAAAAGTGCCTTGACAAACAAAGGAACGGTGAAAAGAAAGTATGAGGTGGCTGCAACCGATTTGATGGTCAGCTTGTTGAATGCGATACTGGTAGCAGGAAGCGCCAGCTCTTGAAGCCAATGCTTCACAGTACACTGGAGTAGCCATGTATTTTATTGTGTAGACTATCTCTGTAGACCTTGAAATGATGCCACATCTTTCCTCCTCCCACTTTTTTGTGAATGAGAATGTACTTTTTTAGCTCTTTGAAAAATGTGAATTGAGTAGCCTCTGACTCCTTAAGAGCTACAGCCAGATGCATAATTTCTTGGAGGAGAATTATTGGTTTCCGTTTTTTGAGGAAAATATAAATAAAAGTTATCGTCAAATGCAAAAGAAGATCCATTTGTTTCACAACTGGAACGTCAAGGGACATAACTGTTTAATTTTGAGTAGCCATCTACCAATGGAGGACGTGTTGAAGCACCATATCGATATGTGGCATGCATAGACGGCGATTCTTGGGAGTTCAGGGCTCGAGCCCCCCCCCCCCAACAACAACAAAATTTGGCAGAAGGGGTGACGTGAAAAAGGAATATTTGTAAGAATTCTGTCTCTGAGTATTTCTCAGTAAATCGCTGCCTATGGTGGCATTATTATTATGACATAACTCCAAGGTCCACAAATATGTTTCGGAAAGCTATGAGGTAAGCTCCCCGAGGCTAGATTGTGGCTAGAAAAATGCAGTTACTGCTGCCATCGTCCATCGAACTGGTCTATGGCACTGGAAGGAGGGGAGATGTAGAAAACACTGAGCGATATGAAAGCTTCCTCTTGACTCTTCTAACTCATCTTGGATGAGGAACCAACGGACCTTCATGTTCATGGACAATGCACGATTCTCATTTGGGAATCGAAAGTCTCTCATCGTGAGATTGTTTCTCTCCTCCCATAGGTTCATTCGTCGTTCCCACCTTGAACTGGCGCTCATCTCGGGAAGCTCACATTTAGAAGCGTAAACGGGAGTTTACCTTTTTATCGAGCTATTGCTGCACAAGACGATATTCTCCCTTTGGTGTAAGGGAGGAAATCCTAATTTCAGTCGTCGAATGCGCCAATCAGGACATGAGTATGATCGATGTGCATCACTGCTATCCCCACCTTGGCTGCCACATTAACAGGAATAACACCCAATGGGTAATGATATTCTGTTCTTTGAGTTCAATAGCTGGAGTTTTGGCTTCGAAGGATTGGCTGAAATTGTATTCCTTTTGTTGAGAATAGAGGTTAAAATGGTGTAAACAGCTTAATCGTCATGGAATTCGTACATGCGGTTTTTTTAAACTCCGCATGAAAGCATTGCGAAAAGAAGTTATATTCGGGGTGTCTCAAAAAAAAGTTAGCTTCTGAAGATTGATTTTTAGCGTAAAATATCGACCTGAAATGAAAGATTCTCAAAGCAGTTGAAAGAGCCAAGGTTAAACTTTCATTTACTAGAAGCCGCTTAAAAATCGATCAATGTTGAAGCGAGATATTGAAATTCAAAGTAGACGTTAACAAATTTACATGATGCTAGCTCATGAATGCCCACTGCCTTGCCGAGGATCCAGTAATGTGAAAAAGTGAATTCGCTCATAATTCATAAGTTTCCTCCCAAAGCGTGCAATTCTTCACTGCGATGTTGGTTGTTATGTTTTCACTTGGGAAATTGCAAATAAGTTTGAAGGATTAGCGCAGAAAGAAATTAGGTGTTATAGAATCTTGTGAAGCGCCAGATGGTGTGCTACTTTCAACTCTTCCTCCAGTGACATAGTTATACTGAGTAAATTTATTTCAGTCTAATTTTCATTCCCCGTTGTCTCACTTCAGAATCGACCTCCTTTTTTGCGGGTTTTACAAAAAAAGGTTACTCTGTCATCTTTTTAACGGCTAAAGGAATTATTCCTATATCTGAGGATAGTAAAAGAAAACTCGTATCTTGTACTGTTAACTTTTTGAGACAGCCTATAGAGCAATGCGTAAATAAATGACCAGGGTTCTTAATGTATTAATCCCAGAAATACTGCACATTGCCGGTTTCTACCTGACCAGGAAAGGGATGCATTTGCACACTCATTAACTCCATTTCCCCAAGGCAAGGGAATCCAGTCTCTGTGAACACTGAACCATGTTGAAAAACTGGAAATGAGGTGGAATATAGCCAAAAGATATTGATTTATTGGGAGCATGTGGTGCCCATGAAGCACCTTCATGTTTCTCCAACTCAACCTGATGTGCAGATGAGGCAGCGCAGCCGAAGATGGGAAATCCAAAATCTCTTTTACAGTATGTTATGTGGTAATTGATATGTGATTTATGCGGTAACCTATGACCTCTATATACTGGTAGTAGGTACAGGGTGTCTCAAGTAAACCACCACAAAAATTAACGCAAATTAAGAAATGTAGTGTGAAGAAAAATAGCTCATTTGACAGAGAAACAATAGGATTCCTAGTCCACCTTGTATTTGTGGATAGTTCAATGCATGTTGCGTCCATCATTCATTTGGGCAACTTTTGGTATGAAAGGTGAAGTTTGCTACAACCTAATTCAGAGTGTCGATTGTGATGATCTGCACGGCAGCTGCAACATCGCGGCGAAGTTGTGCTAGGTCTTGTGTTTGCAAGAATCAACGATGAATTTGCAGAACTTCCTCCGGTGTGAGATTTCTCTCCGTTTTAAAAGGTTCCGAGTGGGGACGTCAAAGTCCGCTGTGGGCAGATTTGAGAGCTCTTCAAAATATTCGTCTTACGGCCGAAGTATTTCCGCCTCGGCATCCTGTACTTGCTTGCCTCTCCCAAGTGGCAGGCACTTTGGCAGCAGGTAGTCGGATTCCTTTTTGCTTGCCGAATTTATTCCAAGCCTCCTTTTCCGCTTTGGCTACAGTTCGAGCAGATGCTTTACGGAGACCTCTATAGCACGTCCTGGAAAGATGTGACACACTGGACATATACGCCTTATAGGCAGCCTTCTTGATAGCAACAGCTTGACGTACCGCTGTCTGGGGTGATTAGTAGGGAATACTTGTCGCCTATCCCCTTTGCCAATTTGTCACGAGTTTCCTCATCACGGAGAGCTTCCCACCATACTCGTTTTGTAACGTGTGTGGCTTTTTACCTCGTTCTGAGGTTCACCCACATTTGACGCTTGCTAGCCATTTAGTAAAGATCGGAGCTCGTTTCGGCCCCACGCTTAACCATCGTACTCATCACGAGGCTCCACGAACCAGCTGAAACGATGAGATAATTGATCAGTAATCACAAGCACACAGTTCCAGTCCGACTGACAGACCCTCTGTTTTTCTAGGTGTTGGTTATGGTCAGGCCTTGCCAGCCCAAAAAATAAAGCAATAGTCCATTCCCATTGAGTGTCGCTTCTCTAAATCGACCGATCACGACCCTCCAGGAAGCTTCGTCTTTCTCAACTGGCGTATTGTAGTCCCCCATCGGCAAAACGAGACAACTGTTCGGAATCACACATAGGACTCCACCACTTCGAGGCCTACGAGGCCCAGGCCACAATGCATCGTGGCCTGGCTCATCTCGTCATCTGCTCCAGGGCCACATTTGACGCTTGCTAGCCATTTAGTAAAGATCGGAGCTCGTTTCGGCCCCACGCTTAACCATCGTACTCATCACGAGGCTCCACGAACCAGCTGAAACGATGAGATAATTGATCAGTAATCATGGGGAGGGGGGGGGGGGGGGGGGGGGGGGGGGGGGGGGGGGTTTGAACCCCATGAACCCCCCCCTTCCCCCCCTAAATACGGCCTTGATCTGCTCCCATTTCAGCGAACCTCAAGGATCAGTCCTTGGTCTCCTCCTTTTTTTTCCTAGTTTCCACTAATTGTCTTCCCATACATGCACAAAATGCAAACCAGACCCGTCTTGGAATGTACACTCCAAGTCTCCTTGTTCCCCTTCTTTCTGGCTTGAGACAACGTGCCCGCAATTGAAAGAAGCTGAATCGTGGGCAAGGCGGAATGAGCTGGAATGAAAGATGTCCCAGACTGCGCATGCCCTCGTCTTCACAAGCCAGCGCATCGAATTACCCTGAATGTTCTCCCCGACCTCTTTCCCCCCGCCCCCCAAGATTTTAGATTGACTGCAATTGCTGCGAGTTTCAAACGTGAAATTCATGCTCATCAGATGCACTGCCAACGCTGTGAAAAATAATGGTTTGGACTAGAACCCTTATGATGGTTGTTCGCTTTCAGAGCGGTTATCGAGAAAACATTTTAAATGGGTTTAAGCTCACTTCAAAAACCATTTGACTGAGACGCTAAAAAAACCCCTCCCGTTAAGTACGCCACTGGACCCCTGCTAGATATTGCTTCTTTTGCCAAGTTGACTCGTTGCTCTCTGAGATGAGCAGTTTATGGATGCCTGTACCTCTTTGGTACATGAAAATTTTTCTTTGTGTTTTCTTGTGGAATCTGGAGCTAACCCTGATTTGGCAGGTGGTGGAGTCATAGTCTTCACCAACGCCGCTGCTGCCAATTACTTTCTCAACCAATCCTAGGATGGGTGTGGAGGTCAGGGGCGGAGCAAGTGAGGTGAGTCACTCTTGTGTACAAATTTACAAGTTCTATCGGGTGGAAGTCATGGAAGAGGTCAAGGAAGTCAACGACCGTCTGGATGTCTTGGGCAAGAACAGGCTCTGAAGTTCTCAAATCGATTTCACTTAGATTGAAGTCTTTCTCCATTGATTATGAGAGCATTCTTATAGGTGTGCGTTATTGCACCTAGTTTATTGCAGCTCTGAGTGGAACATCTCTCGGTTTGGGCAAAGTGTCGAACGGTTAATGCCGAAACGTATGCTTGCCTTTCATAGTGTACGTGTCAATGGCAGACTTGCCTACCAACAAGTAAAATTTCATGTCCATAGGCTCAACAAATGACATTAGTACCAGAGAGTGCCCGATGAATTTTATCAAAGATCCAAGTTTTGAGACCTCATGCTGGCCACTTCATACATACATGCAGAATGACAAGTGGTGTGCTTGGTTAAGACACATATCAGTAATGGGTTACCCCATGAAATAGTTCGCCATCACTCCATGTTCAGCTTTTTTAATATCAATCTAGAATTTTTTGAAGCTATCTTTCAGCAATTTTACCTTCTCTTGAACCACCTTTAAGACGGGGTAATATTATTTCAATTAAATAAATCATCGGAATTTAATAATCATGGACATTTAAATAAAGAATGTTGAATGTGGTGCGAATTGGGAGCAATATGATCACATCTGACATCACTGTGACGACTAGTCGAAGGAAACATGGAAACTGCCTGGCATTGGCTTGTCGTTAGTGATGGAACTTTGGCTTGGTCCAACTCTTTACATGCTTATAGCCTACGCTACATTCGGAATAGGGTTATTCGTTTTCTGGTTGGCACAATGGAGTTGAAATATAAGTATTCATGTATTGAAGCTTGGCTATGCACAGCCGAAGGCATGGGAAATCATTCCAAATTCACATCTGTTATGCTTGTGATAGGTCTACCGTCAGTCCTAACGTTAAGTGTAGGAATTACTCGACTGTGAGGCTTATATCACAGGCGGAGGCTAATCACATGTACAGGCTTAATATTAAATCAACTCATCGATTTCTTTGTCTGAAAGGGATGAGACCAAAGTGCTCCCCTGAGTGTCTGCAGCCTACGTGACTGATAGGCCTAGAGCCCAACGTTAGGTCTTACTTATGTAGGGTTCTTTTAAAAGTTATTCAACTCTGTTCATACTGTGTAAGAAATTCGAAGTCGATAGGCATAAGTTTTAATTTTTAATATTTAAAAGGAAATAAACTTAAAAGCAGACTTTTAATGATAGTTTGGCTCCAACTCTTAACTAAGCTCTGGCATGAAATCGACACAACATGTCATAACTCCTACTAGAGTAGGCCTAACCCAAACTAGAGTATATTTGCCATTTTTTAAGTTTCAAGGGGATGCATGAAAGGGCTACAGACACCTTTTATTTCTTCATTCAGCATTACAGCTGCCCTAGTGGCTTCCCAGGTGCAATTCTTACATCTGACGGTTAGTACTTACTTCAGGTTGTTATTTATTATAAACCAAATGAGAAATGTTTTTAGGGGTTGCATCTTTTGTTCATATCAAAATTATGTGTAGCATTTGGGTAAGATAGATTTTTCACATTTATGCAAAATATCCTTCAGTAAAGAAAGTACAATCACTGCAGTGCTACTCCATCATCATTACAGGAACAGTTGTATAATGATGAGTGCTTTTGCAGCAATTTTTGTTCTACACTATGTGAAAATCAGTTTATTATCTGTCTCTAATTCCTTATTATAGACTACAAGTAGTGTTGGTTGAATCAACTGATTCATTTTATCAGGGTTCACCATTTTTTTAATGTACTTTATATTTTTCCCATAGGGTAAAACCATCTAAGTTTGGACACTAGCACATACATTGTTACAAACTAAGCATTGGTGAACTCTCCCTCAGAGGCAATTATTTGCAGCTTGGAAGAGCTGTTTCTGAGGGTGACCTTTGGTGACCCTAAACCTTTGTTTTATAAATATTTTATGGTGTCTGAACTTAGATACTGTCCAAACTTAGATGGTTTTATCCTAGGTGCCATTAGAAAGCTTCATGATACTTTGAACTTTGAAGGACTAAGAACCACTTTACTCAAGGTGAAGCAATTGTGGGACATGAGTTTCCCTGAATTTCAAGGAATAATTTTTTAAATGAAAGGTAGAAAATGTGCATTATTGATTCTCATCCATTCCAGTAGGGCCAGAGTGTTAAAAGGGTGGAACATGGCTGTAATAGGTATAATATATTTAACTAAATACTCAGTGAAGGAGAAGTTGCACAACCTAAAATAAATCTTGCCATGACCAAAAAAAGCAGCACAGTAACTTTTTATACTTCTGGAACCAAATTAAACTTTTGCAACACCCATGACTTCAGTTTGAAGACTCAGTGGTAATTGTTCACACAACGAAGTCAGGGTGTACATGATGTTCACTAGACATGCAATAGCCACCAAGACTTCTTTTGGGTTGCATGACTTTTCAATTACCTGGTATATTTACAGTTTTGTGTGTTTTGCAGGAAAGGAGCTGACAAAGGAGAAAGAAACAAATAGGGCTAAGCCCAACCTTATCAAGGGTTGCTTCAATTTGGCCCAAAGGGAGTGAGAAATATATAAGTCTGTGTCAGTTTATATCATTAAAGTCCACTAAAAGTTAGGCTAGATCTATAGCTTGACATTAGGTTCAAGTAGCCAGTGATCACAGGTAGCTGTTCAGAGTTTGGGATCTTGCCATCAGCAATCTCAATTCAAACATGGTGAGTATTCATTGTATCTGCCCATTAATATGAATGTAGCCAGGTACACCCTATCCAAGTACTTAACTTGCATCCTGGAAATAAAATAGGACTGTACACCTTTGTGTGTTATTTTTCCTCATTTACTCCTTTTTTTTTATTGACATAACTTTTCACTTGTGAATGGAGAAAAGTTAGGATTTTGGTACCTGGGTAGGCTTACCTGGAAGTTACCAGAGTCAGGAACTCAGCAGCTCGTTAACTGGATAGCTGCATCTATACAGGTTGACTCTCATTAGTAAGCACTCAAATATTCTAACTAATATAGTACTCGCTAAGAAAAGGTTTGACTAAATTTTTTTTCACTAGTCCCATGCTATGTCAACTTGTTTTTCCCTGTTCTCCACCCTTGTAATGATTGCCATCTTTTCTTCAAGCTAAAGGGCTCTCTTCTTGATCCCAGCACCAAGTAAAAGAGGTTTTGAGCAAGCCATTTTTTACTTTGCTGTTTTTGTCTTGGGGTGCAGTAATCCTCAATCTGCACTACTTCGACTAAGATCATGTAGGCAGGGCTTGCGTTTATGCGTAGATGTGCATCCTATATGCACAAAATTCTGAAGGGATGCACAACAGAAAAACATTGGAGTCCCAGGGACGTGCGGGAAAGTTCTAGATTTTCTGACTGGTTTTCAGACCAGTTGGCAGTTGCCCTCTTAGAACCGTGCCTAAATAAACCTGTGCACAACCTTATTACTGACAGGAGGGGGGGGAGTCCCTGCCGAAGAAGGTGTGTGACGTGAAAGCGATGAGAGTGGCGCATGATGCTTTGCGTTCACACATTCATGATGTATTTCCGTTCGTTTCAATTTAGACTTCAGGGCGGTTTGGGCCAACACTCTTCTCGTTCGGTTACAAGCGGAAAATGTACTATGTTAGTTTATTCGAATCACACATTGGCATGTGTTCAGATGTTCCTGAACATGGGCCTAGTGGCACATAAAGAAAGGTATCAACAGCGTAGGTCTTAATTCTAAACGAAGGTGATGTCATTGTTCCACTTAGGGTGCACAGAGAAGGGAAGATTGCTGTAGGCTTTGACCTAGTCAAACTGAAGGGAAAGAGATGGACGTGGGCGATAATGAAAATGGACAACATGTGAACCATGAATCACAATGAAGGAAAAAATATTTAAAAAATGGGAAAAGGTGTGGGTCAAAATGTATTCCTGGCTTTCCTATAGAGATGGAAGAGCTTCCTGTGATTTCTGCTCAAATGCAAATAAGAAAAATCCCTACTCAGCATCTGGCAGTTGTAATAAGCAGAAGTTTGAAATTTGAAGATGCCCTAGGGATATTTGTTAAAGAGAAAATGTTGGAAGTAGTCCTAAAGGTGCTGGATTGAATATCATGCTTTTGGTCATGTTAAATCAAAGAAAAAACATTGTGGGATTTGCAACTTTTTGTGCAACTTTGCAAAATTTCATCACGCTTCAATTGCCAATGGGACCCCCACATTTTTCTTGAGTCCTGAGGACCCTTAAGGCAAGAAAACCAGCACAAGCCCTGTGCAGGTGAATCCCTTTCAGTTACGGCAGCAATTACTTTCTGGCAAGGTATTCACTGCCAGAACTTCGGTACAGATATTCATTCATTCACAATCAGCACATGGGTGACTACATTACCCATTCACTCAAATGCTCTGACTGAAACCTCCATGTATACAGCAGCCTCTCTAAAGGGACCGTTGGGCCAAATCTTTGCCTCCAATGAAATAACTAAACAACATCAACAATGCCACTTATGAATCATCAGCAGACATGCATCTGGCTGCTTCTTTGTTTTACACAGCTACATACTAACGTTGATATGCACAAGTATTATGTTCATTAAAGTAAGATCCAAAAGGTTGAAGTCTGTCTTTGGCCTCATTTTATTAACTTTTACTGTGGAAAGTAGTTAATGTCGTGTTTTCACATGACTTGGGGACACATATAAAGGTACTTCATATGCTTGTGTGTCTGAGTCAAGTGAAACTAATTGCAATAGATTTGTAATCAATTTTTGGGTGCAAGAGGCCTCAGGCATTTTCAGGTTTGATTTAGTATTACTATGATTTTTTATTAAGTTTGCAAACTTCTTCACTATCATGTTATTGCCACTTAGTTGGGAGTCAATGGTTTTAAAGCTTTTCCAAAACTTTGATGCTGTTATGATATTAAGTTTTCACAAACCAGTGCCCTGTGGCAAACCAGTTAGACTTTGTGGGCTGTAAATTGAAATAATATATTTGGGTTCTGGGTATGAGCCTGCCTCTTGAATACCTTTTAAGTATCTGGAATACCAGCAACATTCAGCATTTGAAATGGAGTGCAAAGTGGACATGAAACTGTTGAGAAAATTCAATTGATGCATAAAGAAGACAACTGAATTGTCATATTGTATGTACACAAACTTCCTAAATGAGAGCATAATGATGTTGACATTCTGGCCTGTGACTTTCTGTGATGAGCTTCATTAGTATTTTGTAGTGATGAGTGATACAAGTGCTGCCAAGGTCTCTTACATCTATGATGCATATACAATCTGTGGGTATTGTACATCTCGTGCACCCCCCTCCCCCCAACCCTCAAAATAATCTTTTATCATGAATTCATGATATTGGACTGGGGGGGAACCCAAAATTTTGGGGGGAGGTGAGGTGACATTTGCTCTCCATCATCCTTGATGACTTAACTGAAATATTCTCTTCTTAGTAAGGTTTGGCATGATCTCAAGTGTAAATGATGTCATATGAGGCAGATCCTTATAGTGGGGCTAACCCAGGGGTTCCAAAACCCAAGGTCACACCCAGGGTTTGGATGTTGAATTTTGAGTCGTGACCAAAAAAGTTTGGGAACCACTGGGCTAACCTAACTGAAGAAGCTCAATCACAGCCTGCCAAGCTTCCAGCAGGAAGCTTGGCAGCCAAATCCCAATCTAAGGCTTCTACTACTCCATCAGAACAATAATTTCTTTTTCATTCTGTATGCAAAATGATTACTGCTCTGAATTCATATTCTGTCATCATCTCTTTTTTAAATTATGTTTTCATACTTCTCCTAAGTTGATGGCCATTACTTTTCCCTTTCCATTAGCACCAGTTTACTGCCTTATTATTTAGGAAATCTGACTCAAATATGTTTTACTACAGTATTTGTTTTCAGTATTTAAGAACCAAGCATTTTGATACCTATCAAGTGTTGAGAATGTGACTGTATTCATAGAAGGGCAGTAGAACAATTTAGCTTACAAAAGGGGAAGTAGTTTGGATAGCATTCATGTTTGTGGGGATGAACTTCTCCTGATGTGGTACCTTGCTAAGAAACATGATATTTGTTTTGTTTTAGGGGAATGAAAGTTCACTTCCTATGGAGATGTGCTCCAACTGTAAGTTCACCAGTGTTCTTGCATTGCCTTAACTAGTGGAAATGGCTAAATTCTTTGTGTTGTACAAGTGATAACCATTTTGTTTCTTCACTTTTCCAGTCGATGCAGATGAGATACGGAGGTTGGGGAAGCGATTTCGCAAGTTGGATCTAGACAACTCTGGAGCTCTTAGTGTTGAAGAGTTCATGTCGCTTCCAGAATTACAGCAGAATCCTTTAGTGCAGAGAGTCATAGACATCTTTGATGCAGATGGGAATGGGGAAGTTGATTTTAAAGGTGAGTCACAAGGGACATTTACTGACCCACCTAAAATAGTGGCACTGCTTCTGTTCATGTTTTTGCATTTTTAAAATATATTTTGCAGAGTTCATACAAGGGGTCTCACAGTTCAGTGTGAAAGGAGACAAAGAGTCAAAGCTGAGGTTTGCTTTTAGGATCTATGATATGGACAATGATGGCTATATCTCCAATGGAGAACTGTTTCAGGTCAGAAAATGAGTCTTCTGAAGCAAGAGTATGAAAGGCTGTTTATTAGATGGTTGTTGACTCCCTTCCATCTAGGTCTTGAAGATGATGGTTGGAAATAATCTCAAAGATACACAACTGCAACAAATAGTTGACAAGACAATCCTCTTCCATGATAAAGATGAGGATGGGAAGATCTCTTTTGAAGAGTTCTGTGCAGTGAGTCCTTTCAACCGTTGTCTTACATTGCAGAGTCACTTATCTTTTAGCTAAATTTGCATCAGAATTGCTGACTTGCATTTACATATTTTCAGATTGTTGGGAACACAGATGTGCACAAAAAGATGGTGGTGGACGTCTGAGTTCAGAGCCAATCAGCTTGCCTCTGTTCTCCCTCTTTTGTCATATTCTGGCTCTTCTTATTTTGCGATCCTGGTTTAAGTTCACTGTAGATGGAGTTCTCCATCTTGCTAGTCTTATTATCCAAGTCAGGTTTTTTCCTCTCTCCCACTTCTAAGTACTGTGATATGTATGAATCAGGTGTTGTGTTCCATCCGTGGAGAGATAAGATATCAGATCAGATAAGAAGGGAAGAAGATGCATTCAGATTTATCCATTTTTGCCCGTCTCTCTCCTGTCTCAGTCGGAAAAGGAAAAAGAACAAAGCCATGTTTTCTGCATTCATTCGGTCACCCTCCTACACCCGAGCAAAAAAACACAATTTTTTCATACTTTTTGATGGTGTGATATCATATTGTTGGTGTTGTCCTGTTATGATCATTTACTACCAGTACCTTTAAAAAAGTTTTTATATCTTTCATTACCTGCTATATATAAATATTTATCTGGGATCCCCATTTGCCTCCCTTGAGATGCGACAGTTTGAGTGAGTCGAGTGAATTTGGGTTTGCCTTCTCCTGCTTGAACCCTGCCGGATGCCTGCCTGTGAACCTTGTATGCCAAAATCCTCTTCTCTTTCCTGGCATTCTCTTTCTTTCCACTTGTCTCTTATATGCCTCCTGCTCCCATGCAAGTTTTCCTCCCTTTACATGGAATGGCTCCATCTCATAATACAATTGAGCAAGAGTGAATTTTTCCCATTGTTAGCATTTGCCAATAATTGCCATTCATGAAGAATAAACTCATTATCCACCTCAGATTGTGTTTCCATTTTAAATGCCTTTTGTTTATGTCTTTAACAAGCAAGCTAGACACAGTCAAACAGAAGATGCAGCAACACATTGTTGGGTGTTTTATGGGATTCACAGGTGTCGCTGAGACATACAGGGCATGAGTGAAGATAAAAAACAATGGGAAGAAGTGAATGATTTTCACATGGATGTTCCAGTTGTGTCTTTGATCTGCAGCTCTGCTGCCCCTTTCAAGTTGACTGCTGCATCGCATCAAAACCATAAAGGTTTTGTTTTATGGGTTTTAGGCTTTGCTTCCTCTTTAAAAAACTGCCTTAAGTTTTAATTGAAATCTTAAACAGTCTCAGTACCTCAATTGTCCCTTAAAATTAGGGCAGAAAAAATAAATAGTTTCACTAGCAATTTTGTATGATGCAACTGATGCAATTTTCCATTAATTACAAGAGTAACTGGATAAGAACGAAACTGGAAACCTTTTCATTGATATATCAATTCAATTCAGCTTATGCCATATGCCATGTGTAGCAGGTGCAAAATTTTCCAAACTGGGAGAACTGTGCCCAAACTAGACAGTCCAGAATATATCATCAGAAGAGATGTAGAGTTTGATATCCACTTAATGCACTTCCTGCATGTGAAGTCTCTGGAATACCCCTGAAGGCTGTCCACCTCATACAGAGTATCAAGTGTGATTTGTTGCTCTGATGTCTGGCAGTGGACTTGACACAATTTGAGCAGCTTGTGAATCTTACATTTTGCCAAAAATTAGGGAAAACTCCTACCAAGACCCTCACACTTTTAAGGAAGTGTACATGGACAATGGTTGAGGTGTACAGGAACTATGTGACATCGACATCCCAGGTGTTAAGTGGTACCAACATTTCAAGGAGGGGCAGAATTTTCTTCACAACATTGCACCTGCTCACCAGTCACTGATGGTGATGCAGTTCTAGGCAGACATGGGAACAACTGTCCTGCCACATCTACCATGCTCGGCTGATCTTGCTCAGTGTGATTTCTATCTGTTCCCACAGAAGAAGAATTTTCTGAAGGGAAGAAGCTTTTGGATCATTCTTGTGTCAAATCAACACACCTGGAGGACATTTTTCAGTTGACTCCTGATTTGGATGAAATTTGGTGTACCTATCAACAATGGTAAGGAACTAGCCCACACCAAATATTGAGTTCATTAGACCCCTGGTTTCTCTGGCATGAGACATGACATTCTCATGCCCCAATTTAGTCTTCTCCTTGAAACTTCTGTTCTAATTAAGGTTGAAAGCTCATTTTTTAGTTCTTTTCCAGTCTTTGCCATTGGTAAATTTTGGTAAATACTAAAAGTTACAATTCAGTAAGGTGGTCAAGACCTTTGACCTCACAAATCAAATACAACCCCCTTTGATTAAAAAAAAATTGGGTAAATAGTAGACAAGACATATGGCTACCTCTGGAAAAATATTTTAACTTGGGCACTTGGTAACATGGGGAGATAATTGCAATACGATAAGGTACAGGGTGCAAGAGGCTCAAGGCAAATGACTGCACACTAACTCTGGAACACCAGTTAACCCACCCTCCCCCTGTAACATTAGCAAACATGAATAGCCTTGGGAGACTCAATTTGGCCCATGCGCTTATTCTGGGAATACATTACCTGAGGTTTGGCCTTCACCATTGGGGATCTTTAATGTCCCACATCCTTAGATGGGAGTGCCAAGTGTTTAGGGGTCTCCTTTCCTGAGTATGCTGGGACTTGGCACTTGGAAATAAATACAGGACTTGTTAGGTTCAAATCTGGGTACCCTGCCATGAGAGGCAAGCACATTATCAATCAAGCTGTTTGCATGAAATCTATTAAATTGAATATATTCCACTTTGTGAATGGGAATGGGAATGCACTTAACTGAGTGGATATAATTTAAATTAAATTCTATATAAAAATGAGCACTTTAAAATTGATTCTATTTCAGGCACAAATGCTGTGCATGTGGCATTGCACCAAAAATAGGTTTTCACTATAATACTTGGAAGTGCAAAACAACAGTTGTCTTTGTGGCATGGCCTCAGCAGATATGTGATGTTTGTCAAGATGATAGCCAAGTACTGCCAAAAATAATTATGTAGTTTTTTATTTAAAAATAATAACATACTTTTTACCAGCATTATACTTAATTTCCATTTTTTAAATGATGTACAAATGGCTAGACATTGGCTACTTAGCTGTATATTTGAAAGGCCAGTGGCGTATTTTACGGGGGGGCAGAGGGGGCAGCCGCCCCCGTCGCCCCCTCGGAGTTAATACAAAGGGCGTACCAAAAGTATCGAGACTCTGGCTATAATTTTCTTAATGTGTTTGCCATGAAAATCTAATTCAGTTTCCTTCAATGTGCAACAAATATGCAATGCACACTCAGAAGTACAAGTTGCTCTCTCTTATGATTAACAAAATACAGGCAGTGAAAGGAACACATGCACCAGAAATTACAGACACGACAACACATTCAATCATCTTGTAGATGAACCTTCTTCATGTAGTCCCCTTTGAGGTCAATGCATTCCTGCACCATGATTCACACTTGTGGATTGATGCCCTGAACCACAATGGTTCAGGTTATCAATCTACAGTTCAGGCATCATCAGTTCAGTCAAAGGGGACTACATGGAGAAGGTTCATGATGATCCACAAGATGACTGAATGTGTTATTGTGTCTGTAATTTCTGGTGTATGTGTTCCTTTCACTGCCTGTATTTTGTTAATCATAAGAGAGAGTGACTTTACTTTGAGTGTGCAATGCATATTTGTTATACATTGAAGGAAACTGGATTAGATTTTTGGGGCAAACGCATTAAGAAAATTATATCCAGAGTCTTGATACTTTTGGTACGCCCCTCGTAATTCCTCACCTGATACCCCTAGGGTAGGGTATGGGGCCCCCATGCTGTTGCCCTGCCCCCTCTGACCCCTCAGCCAAAATACGTCACTGTGAAAGGCTAATCACAATTGTTAAGAAATATGCGATTGTTGAAAGCATATGTTCCATTGGAGAATACTTGAATTTACTGGACTTCTATGGCCATAGGACACTGAAATGTATCCTGAAAAGTGTAGACAGCTTCATTCTGGTGGAAAAGGATTTGCTTATTTGAAGGAGTAAAGTGGAGAAAACAGCACTCCAGTGGAGATCCCATATTCTAGCATCAGAAGGTTCATAACATGTAAAAGTGGTGGAAAGGTACTTTGCAAATGTTCTTGAGAAATTTAAAGGCAATCAGAAAATTCTTGTTCATTTCCTTTATCCACAGAGTCCAACTCCTTCAGGTTCTTATCCTCACAAATCTGATAAGCCAAAAGTACATCATAGCCAGGTCCTTTCTCTTAATAACTCCTTTACAGAAACAGGGCATCAGTACAAACTGTCCAATGTAGAGATAATGCATGCATTGGTATATCTTCATATGAGCAACCAGTACAGAGAATTTGCCTTCAAGATGATCATTGGACTTGGTTCTATGTCTCTGTAGTTTTGTTTTTCTTTATTGTGTTTAGTTCTATGCTGTTCATTAAAATTTAAAGATAAACTCTAAAGATACTGCTGGGAGCAAGTATGTGAGTCACAGTCAATGGTACTCTCTTTTGTTGTTATCTCAAGATCTTCTGCAGAAAGAAGGCATTTTGGCTTGAATTTTCATGACCTCATATCTGAGGAAGTCAAATGAACCCAATAATTGCTGTGAGTCACTTTCTAATAGATACAAATAAGCCTGCCAAATTTCATTAATATCAGAGAAAGTCACCTATTAACACCATGTTTGACATGGAATAACCCTTTTCCAGTGCTGATGAGGTTATGAAAGCTGCAATGGTAACACTCAAGGAGGTTGCAACAAATGGATTCATTCCATTTCAAAGAACTGTACAGGCACTGGCAATGGTGTGTGATTAGCTAGGGCCACTGCTTTGAAGGAAAGACCAATTAAATTGCTCCAACCATGACCAGCTACTGAACTTGCACTGGAAAGAGCTAGAATCAAGAATTACATATATATAGCCTTGATCGGCTTAATGTCATTGGGCCTCCACGCTTCAGCCCCACGAAGTATTCCAGGTAGCACCTGTATGATCCTTTGGAAAGACATTAAATGTATCCATTGCCATTTACCTTTCTTATGCATAGATTCTCTCATTTTGCACCATAAGACAGATCTAAAAGTCATATCCAAATACCAATATTCAGATGCTACTTCTAATTATTGTCCAGCACCATTTCTTTTCAATGCTCCTTTTTCCTTAAAGATGATAATCTTTGTTTTTCCAAAATTCACTTCCAGCTCCCATTTGTCACAAAAACTCTCTTCAAGCTTGAAACAGCCTCTGCAGTCCTACCTTACTTGGAAAAAGCAAAACCAAGTCATCCACAAGAGCAGCATTGGCATTTCCACCCAATTCAGGTTAGGTGCATGTTCAGTCAGCAGTATCTCTTCTTCTGTCACTATTGATATATCCAGCCACTTGAAGAAAATGAGAAATTTTGGAATATGGAAACAGCTTTTGAAAATTTCAAAAAATTTTATTAAAAAAAGACACTCAACTATGCACAATTGGAAAGTTCTCAAGCTCACCTTTCCAATGAGACTACCTACTATACTGTATGTTGTCTTCATATTGAAAAATACTTGACCAGAGATGGCCCAAAAGTTTTAAATAAAAAATTTGAGGTGCGTTACTTCCCTTGTATGGACAAAAAAAAAAGGCTACATTTATTGATGCACATGAAGAGCAACACATCATACTGAACAATGTCTTTTCCCTTGCTGCATCAGATATGGGGGGGGGGGGGAAGGTGTTGATTAGCATACATTTCTAAATTTCCAAATTCAACTAGAGGGTGATCCAAAATTAGGTAACTGAAATGTTGCATCATAATAATATAGTTTCTTACAGGTAATTCGGAAGAAATATATGCCAGTTAACACTGAAAAAAGAGAATTCAGCTCACTGAATGTTATTTAAGGAGTTAAGGAGGAAATGATGGACTGATCATAACTACTGTACCAAGTAGGTGTGATTTAGAAAGAAGACCTGACTGGAGTTGGAGCTAAGGACCGTGGGTAGTGGTGTCAAAGGAAACAAAGGACAATTCTGGCAGACCTTGTTCAGTCTATATAAATGATTATTTAGGAATTGTGTTCTATAATTGTATTGTTGATGAGATTGTCCAAAAGGTCAGGCTGTGCCTACAGTGGGATGGTGGGTATGTTGAACATGTCCATTTGTGAACCTGTTGATTTAATGAACTAGAAAGATTATCCTACATTTGAAACATTTATATATAAAACACACATGGTGTCTACTTGGATATTTCAGTTACCTTCTTTTTCTTTTGGGCCACCCTGTACAATGCTGAAATTTCATTTAAACCCTGATGATGCAAGAAAGGAATTGTTCATCCAAGAAAATTTTTTCACCAGGATTCATGGTTTTTGTTATTCAGGATGAGGCATCAAGCCATGCACCCAGGGCAACTGCTGCCTTCTTCAGCCAAAGAATAGAAGAAGAATGAAAAAATGTAGAAGGCCACAAAAATAACAGCACTATCATCCTTAGACATTCCTGCGAAGTTCCCAGATATAGTACTAATGCACATTTGCCTTTGGTTTTCTGAAGCAAGCCCAGGGAAATTGGTCATCTTGCACTTTGGATGGTCTCTGGAAAGTGCAAGGAGTGGGAGAATTTGGATATGACTGTGCTTCAGAGGAACTTGTCTTGGAAAGTTACATGTAGATGGTGAAGAGCCATGGTATCAGATAGAGCCCAATCAGAAATGGAGGGGGGATACCCTAAGACACACAGATCCCATCAGCATTGTTTCTATAAAGAGTAAAAAACCCTCAGTATGAAGTGGGCAGGGTATTATTCCCAGCCAATTCATAAATCGCCAATGTGGTGACATGGACAATTAGAGGGTGGCATTGTCCTGCTGCAGCACTGCACTGTTGGATATGAGGCCACCCCTGTTTATCAAGGCTTACTTGACCTAGCTCTTCAGAAATGCACTCAACTAGGGACCAACTATTGAAAAGCAAGTCGAACTGAAATAGGGGTGGCCTCATCCAAGGATGTGGTATTGCAGCTGGGCAATCCCATTCACATATCACCCATGTCACCACCTAGGTAATCCATGACCTTGACTGAGAAATATACCCTATCCACTGCATCTGTCAGACATCATTCCATCTGCTAATCATCGAGGATCACCCATGCATCAACCATACCTCTATGGGTGAACTTTTCCAGGAACTTTCTAGCCCTCCTCGCAATTCTATGTGGGATAAGAATTGGGTATGTGAGACTGACCATTTTGAGAAAAGTCATTCTGGTATGAAGATTTTTACCAAAAGTTCATCCATTAGATTCACAAACTTTCAGCAACTTACCTATAGAATTACAAAACTTGACTCATCCCCCACCCCCTCCCTTTATATTCCTGACTCCTATTTGAGGAACTCATGTACTGATAAACCTGCACTTAATTTTTTTAAATCTTGAACTGAGACAGACAAGAACACACAATCTACAAAGCCACAAGGCACGAGGAGAGAATAGGTATTTTCATGAAACAGATGAACCCTCAACGAATTGCCTTGCAGCTCAATGCTTGCTATTAGAAATTATCCATTTCCAGGGATATACAGGTAGCAATGCCTGCATGGCATTGACCTTTGCACCCTGAGCATTTCCATATTCTAACAGAGCATGTTAGTGGGACAATTTGAATATTGCCATATTCAAAGAGCATGAAATCTTTCTTTTCACACCTATAAAAGGAAGATTCCATGCTGTTTGAATCTGGAAACATTCAGCATTTAAAGGTTAAATGGCAACTCTGGCTTATATAGCCATTCCATCCTTGCACAATGGACTAGTTAGTGGATGATTTGAGGAACAACAAGCCCCTACTTATCACAGTGGAGGACAGAGAAGCCTATGCTTGAGTTCAGGGGAGAGTATATAGTACCTGAAAGCAGCCAGGTGGACTGGCAGTCTGGGAGAAAAACTAATATTGGCCATAGTTCTCCTCTGGGCTGCAGTTGCCTGTAGGCAATTACTACTTGAAAAATATTATTGAGAGTAACACCAAGATGTGTTCACTATCTCAACTAGAGGTCAAAATAAAAGTAAATTGTCAAGTAACACCAGAAAAATCATAAATGCCAACATTGTCTGGATCTGTTTTGGAACTGGAAGACACAAGATATATACAGGGTGTTCCAAAAAGCTCCTGGCCTGCTAAAATAAAGATGGAGACAAGATTAACAGGATTTATTGATTTAATTGCATTCCACATGGCCAAGAATACCCCAGGTTCTAACTCCTGCAATGATACTTGATATGACTTTCATGGACCTCCAGGAACCTTGCCTCAACATCCTGAAACTCTCAACCAACTGACAGATTACATTCTTGTGTTGGTTTCTCACTCAACTTAGAACCTGGTAAAGACTGATGCCCGATTTATGGAGTGAAGCTGACAGAGAGCACTCTCCTGGAACCTGTGCCACATGTGTTTTGGGTGTTGAGGTCCAGAAAGTTCCTTAGTAGCTTCTTCTAGACCTGTACCATAGTCTATTCAATGGTGCAGAATGCGAAGCCAGCCATGTGGCATGGGGCTCCATACTGCATCAGCACAGCCATTGGTCTTGGTCTGAGCATATCATCTGGATCCTCATGTGGCCGATGTAGATAAGCAGGATGTTCTCAGTGGTTTACATAGCATTTACCTGCATTTTGTGTGGGTGGGTCAGAAACTTTCAGAACACCCTGTATTAGCATCTACTTTTAAAACCTGAATTGAATTGAATAAAAATAAGTTGAAGTCACAAGTGGATAACAGCCCTTAATCCTTTGGCAGGTAGGTTTTTGGGCATACTTTGTGGGGAAATTGAGCATAAAAATGTATATATCTTTGAGTTCCTGCCAATGGATTAATAAATTTAAAAAATAGCACAGGGAAAAATAAAACAAATCCACTATATACTGTGAAAGATGACTTCTTCCTCTTCTGAATCAGATGCAGAATCATCTGAAATTACAGGGATGAGACGCTGATGAATGATGCCTGGTTTAAGTAAGGGTACATGATCGTCCACTAGATCCTCCAGAGTCTGAGGGAGAGGTTTTCCAGATGTTTCAGGAAGCCAGGAATCAAGGATACCTGCCACAAAGCTCAGGATCCCCAGGATTGTGAATTGAAGATCATGGCTCACAGAATCCTTAGAAATGAGGGAAGGGCATGATCTCCATATGATATTGTAGAATGGCTTTTATAAAGGATAGCATGAAAAGGAGAATAAATGGATGAACAAACCATGAGGTGGATGAATGGAGCAACTGTGCTACCTATGCGGGATGTCACAAACACCAAACTGAGACCAGCTGATCGAATCACAGTTGGGAAGAGCTCAGAACTATGAATGTATATGATGGAAAAGGCAGATGAGATTCCCAGCTTCCCTAAAGGACAAAAGAGGTCAGAAAAATATCATTGGACGATCACATCCTGGCAGTAGCAGAACTACAAATGTGAAGGAAAAGTCAAGGATGAGGAGAAATGTAAAAAGGAAAACATATTGAGTAATAAAGCAAGGATGTAATGATATTATTACATTTCCTAATATCTTAAGTTGATATTCTATACCTGATATTAATAATCTATAATGAAGAGCACCTCTTTTATGAAGTTGGGTATGTAAATCTGAAATTGAAATTGAGAAAACATGACTTTTATCTCTTCAATTTTTCTCCTGAAATCAAATTCATTGCTAAGCCCATTTTCATTTACAGTCGTCCCTCGCCACTTCGCGCTTCGACTTTCGCGGCTTCACTCTATCGCGGTTTTTTCAAATACCTGTATATTGGGTAATACGAGTGTAATATGGTGACTAAAGAGTGTTATTTCATGTCTAGAGGGCTCTAATAGACATGAAATAACACTCTTTAGTCACCATTACACTCGTATTACCCAATATACAGATATTTGAAAAAACCGCGATAGAGTGAAGCCGCGAAAGTCGAAGCGCGAAGTGGCGAGGGACGACTGTACTTGACTGGTTTGCTTACACCTAACCATGTCTTGGAGGTCCTTCTGCCAATAAATGTTTTCTCCAAGATTGAGCATAGGCCCCTTATAGGTGTTACATCCACATAACATAGGCCTGGTCAATGCTAGGCAATACTGCTCATGTATGGAATGTATGAAAATATGTAGGTTAAGCATGCTGATGACATCCAATTCCTCCTCTTTTCTTTTGCATTTCAATGGATTCCACAGTATGGGTGTAAACCCTGCAGGCTAACGTTGGCTTAATGTTAACCCTTTTTTTGTTGCATAAGGGCAAGCTACTAAAGATAATGACTTTAAATTTTGACTCACTTCAGCAGTACAACTGCTGGGAATTTTATTTTAAAGTCAGTGACATCAACAGCCTAGAATCATTTATTCACACATGTGGACATCATGAAACAATGGGACAGTTTTCTTAGCTTTCAACCCTTTTTGCAGTGTCTATGAAATAAAAAATTCATTTTGCAACCCCCATTCTATACAACTTTTATTCGGACATCATTCTCATATTTGTGGATATCACAACTATCAGAATAAAGCCAAAGACAGTGTACCCTGCCACTCTCTACATTGTCTACAGAGTCTCATACATGTTTTCTTTCAATATGTCACCCTCTGGTGGTCATAGGGGGAATAGTTGCAAAAGCACTGGAATACACTTCTGAGAGAACAAACTTACCCATGGAGCAACAAGTTCTTCTTCAACATGTCATTAGCTACTGTAGCTCCTAAACTTGCCTTTTTGGGAACCATTTGGGAACATCATGTATCAATGGTATATTTAAATCTTTTTGAAATTCTTAGAAATATGAAAATGCAATTATTAATTTATTCAAAGATTGAAATGTGATAAAGAAAAAAAATCCTGTCAAATATAATATTCACAGTAAAACCATTTAAGTTTGGACACTATATCATACATTGTTGCAAGACCAAGCATTCATGAGCTCTTCCTCAGAAACAATTCTTCATTGCTAGGAAGAGCCATTTGTGAGGGTGACCTTGCAATTGCTTAGTTATTTAACAAATTTATTTTATGGTGGGTGTCTGAACTTATATAGTTTTACCCTTTATCTTATTCAATGTATTCATAGTTCAATATGAGTGATACCATATCAATACACAACAACCTCCATGTGCCTCCATTGATTAAATATGTCCCAGTAACATTATATCTGAAGAAAAATGAGACGTAAGGGATTCCTTATTAGAGGAATGATGAGGGAGAGGGAATCAAGCATGATGTTCAGAACCAATGGCACATGCCTGAATGTTATAAGCCTTGCACTCTCCCTGAACATGCACAATGTTCAAAGGTGGTTTCCCTGAATGCATGATGTCCACATCTGTGGACAAATGAATTTGCTACTTCACAGGTAAGTTTGTTCTCTCAGAAGTGCATTCCAGTGCTTTTGCAACAATTCCAAAAATCGTTCTATGCATGTGAAATTAAATGATGAGAGAGACATATGGCCACCAAAGGGTAGCAAAGAATATTTATTTGAATTAAGGCTGTCACTAAATGTGGTTAGTGGCATCAGCACATGCAGACCCAGAGGGAAAACACCAAATTAAAATTTGCAGATGCAGCATGCAATAATAGGACTCCAATGAGCTGAGAAAACAAATGAAAAAAGGAAGAAAAAGGATGTCAAGATGATAAAAGTCACTTCAACAAAAGGCAAAAAAGAGCAAAAAAACTAGAAGCAGCAAGTTTTTCTTTAGAATATTCTTTATCTATCTGAGCAAGTTCAGGCTCTTCCCAGCATGATACTATGGCATGCTACAGAATAGACTTAGTATCATGCAAGATTCTCACAAGGCCCAAAATTTTCACGAGAGGAAGTTTCTGTTCTTCCTTCTCTTCATTACATCTGTTAATTCAGACATAATTTGCCATTGCATCAATTCAATGCAGAGATCTTCTAGAAAAATAACATTGCAACAATATCTACAGGGTGTCTAATAAGTCACACATCATAGGCTAATGTATCCTTTTTCTTCTTTTTTACAGACTGTACTTGAGTCATGACACTTAGTAAAGACAAATATATCAAGATAATTTTGCATTCATGCATTTATGCAAGCCACTACATTAAACACATTTTGCAAATTCCATATATTGATAGATTGATATTGATACTTCCTATGGTGCTCAACTTTTGAGACACCCTGAAGATTCACAGCAGCCAACAAGCCTGACATTCAATGGATACACCTACATGCAGCCATGTCTGCAAGTATGCTGCACTGAGGGAACAGGCAGTCATCATGCTATCACATAAAAATCTGATATAGACAAAGAAAAATATCTGATTAAAGGTATTCATCAAATTCTGATTTCAATATAATATTGTTACATCCCAAATAAAAATGATAGTGGATGGTTAGGCCACGGAGGATAGAGCAAGGATTGCATAAATTTACTCCAACCATGGAAATTTAATCTAAACTATGCCTCAAAGGAAGAGTGCCAATTAATTTTTTTTTTTAAATAAATCATGTCTCCATTTTGTGTGTGCCTCAAGTTTTTCTGCTCATGACATCTTAGAAGAATGAGGTAATTCCTGCCAAATTAAAAAAAAATTCAATCCCATGTCTCAAATGCATAAACTTCTTTAAGTTGAAGCATCAAATATCACAGAAAATATTGCACATAGCTCCTCACCATACATGCTGCTTTGACAAGATCCAAAATGATTGAGTTCAAGTGACAGGGAGTCTCAGTATAGAAGTTGGTTTGTGATAACTCTTTTCATGTGCTACTGGGGTTGCTTGGATTCTGTTTGGATTTTTAATAATTTATTTTATTTATGATTTTCTGTAGGCATCAAGCCAAACTCTATTTCCTTACAGTTCTTGTCATGCTGCAAATCATGAATTTTCCAATTAAGAAAATGTGTGTGACTCATTGAAGAGAACAAGTGCTTGGTTAACACTTTTGCTGTCATACAGCCTCTATTCTACTGGGCCATATGACCTGCAAGTGGGTTGTTTGCATCATTTAGCTTAATACAGTCTAAAATCTTGTGGGCTCTTCCTTTTGTCTTACAAATCCTATATGGCCTTCTGATGAGGTCAACTTAAAAAAAAAATTTCCAGTGTTTCTTGACTTTTATATTTAGAAATTATACTGGATGGCACAAAAAAAAGTGTCATGTTTGATGCCTTATAAAATCCATTGTGATCTAGGTTTGTGATATTTTCATATTACATTGGAAACACCACAAAATTTGTTTTCTGAAAGTTTTATGAGCCTAAGTTGTCTGAATAAATATCGACAGTTGCCCAAAATAGTGTCATAAAATGGACCTTTCTGCACGCAAGGAGGATGGAGTTTCAGGACCACTTGAATGATTTCTCTACCTTGATGTCATAAATACCGCTTTTTATGCCAGTTCTCATCGTAGTATTCAACACATCGTAGAATAGTACTCCTGTTGTACATCGTAGCATCAGAATCGATACCACGCAGAATACTACAATGAGAACTGGCGTAAAAAGTGGTATTCATAACCTCAAGGGGAGAAATCATTTGAGCAGTCCTGTAATTCCATCCACCTCATGCATGGAAAGGTCCATTTTATGACTACTCCGCTTTGAGTGACTGTAGATATTTATTCAGACAAGTTATGTACATGAAAATTTCAGAAAACAAATTTTTTGGTGTTTCCAACATAAGAAAATATCACGAACCTAGATCATCCACAACAGATTTTATAAGGTGTCAAAAAGGCGTTAAGGCATCAGTATATTCAAGATAAAAATCTCTGCAGACAAAGGTAAAATGGAAATTACTTCTTCCACATTTCTATGTATTTAGGGTCTATTATGTGTAAAAATGTGAATGATTGTTAACACTTTCAATCTCATACCAGTCATATTATGGGTAAACCATAACACATGCAAATTCCCAGGACTGAAAGTGTTAACACATTCACTGCTGGAACTTTAATAATGAGATCGCTGCTAGATTTCCAGCATTTTTCTGGGTCTGCAAGAATGTGTGCAATGTTTTAGAAAAATAAATTACAGGATCAAATATATTAGAGCTAAAAATCTGAAATGTCGAATAATTAGTAGGTAGACTTTAAGGGTGTGATACTGAGTTTAAAAGTCATTTGGATGCAATGACATTCCTCACAGAATGCACAAAAATTAGGATTTTTCTTTCCTTCTGCCGCATGCACACTTGGGAGCACATTGTAGGCATTATGTCCTTTTCTCTGGGTGGGATGTACCTGCACCACCTTCATCTTCACCCTGATCAGATGAGGAATCTGTCAAATTCTGGCACAAAATCAATATCAGCATCTGTAGCACTTGAAATGTCTCCCTCTCTCATGTGTTTTGTGCCCATGGCTGCAACTTGTGAGTCTGTCTGTAGGGACTGGTAAAGAAAGTGATGGATTGTGGGCAACTGGAAGGGTGGAAACATGCAAAGCGGTATTTTGAGTGTCAGATAGTGTCTGAGGAAACCCTGGATGCCAGGAACATCACCTTTTGTGTCATCTCTGGGTGCTGTGCAGGGTTATATGTGCAATGACACTTCAAATTGACCTTAGTCGACGATGACATTCTTAGCAGGAGCTTAGTAAATCAACCATAGTCGACTTTGGCAGTGAATGTGTTAATATGTCCTTGCTCAAACATGAGCCTAACTAAAGGTTCCAAGACTGGACTTCATACAAGCAAACTTTGTACAAAAAGTTAGGTTTCAGTATGATCATCTTCAAAATAGTTCCCTTGACTGGCAATGCACTTCTCCCATTGTTGGAGCCATTTCATTTTGGGAAACAGTGAAGTTGCAAGGCACCAGATCCACTGAGTGGGAGTAACATCACCCTCTGATCAGTTATAAATTCCATTGAGTGTAATGTTACTGACTGATTGCCAACAGTCACTGGAGAAGTTCTAAAAGGATCTGCAAAGTTTCCTAATAATGGCTTGTTAATGACTGTCAACTGCATTTGTCACCTTCAATGGATTTCCACCCTTCATGATATCACTTATGTGACTCACATACAAGAATTAGAAGAATTACTTTGGCCCCAGAGAAACAACTACCAATTGTGGCTTGGCAGTGAAAGTGTTAATTAATTAAACTGGCACCCTTCAGCTTGAAAAATGCAAGCACATGATAAAAGAAATTTTTAAATTATACAATCATGACTGTGCCATCAGCACTCAGCCATGTTGCAGCATGCCAAAGTGATGAATCTGGCATGCAGATTGCCAGTTCACTGTAATTCTTGATGCTTCAACTTAGAAAAAATGCATTTGTATCACTGAGTGATAATTGTTAGACTTGGCAAAAATCATCCTTACTAATCTGAGATGTGCAAAAAATGCAAGGCTTCCATTATACTGAATAGAGATATTTAAAAATAAAAACTGGCACTTCTTTTTCTGATAATTGGTGTATTGAAATGTCACTGCTTTTTTTTCTTCAGAAATGATAAGGAGCATACCATCCTACATACCAAGGAGCCCAAGAGAAAGCTTGACACTGGATCCAGTGGAAGATATGGGTAGAAAGGGAATTGGCAGGCAGGCAACTGAAGACAAAAGCATGCACCCAACCAATGAGGTCCTCCTACCGCACCTGTATCATTAATAATATTTAAATTACAATTGGATTACTGATAAAACAAAAACCACAGAAATTAGTATGACATTAGCTGACCAGGAGAGGAGGAATATGTTGAGGAGGATACCAGGTATTTCAATGACCCCATTCAAGGCAGCAGATGAATAAAGGTCTTTGCTGAAATCTCCAGCTGCCAAAGTGAGTCCATAATAGATAATGCTGCATGAAAACCTTCAAATAAGAAATAGAACTTTCATGCTCAGATTCACTGGAGAGGATTTGAACCAAGGAGAGGGGGATTCTTGTACCATGAGAAGAGCTGAATGGAGGTGAGGAAGGCCAGACGAGGTGAGGAAAATAGCTGAAGCATACCACCAGCAGCATCATCAGCTTTGTTACATGGTTTCTCAAAGATCCAGTCTTCATGAAAATCTCTCCCATTCCCTATTGCCACCCTTCTCAAGACATCTCTGGCCTCCTTCTCTCTCCTCTTCAAGAGCAACCACCTGGGACTCTCTGGGATGCAACTATAGCCACACCAAATCTTGCAGAAATTCATCATTGTTATACCCAATGCAATAAATGAAAGATAGCAAGGAAAACATACAAGTATAGAGGTAAGAGAGGCACTGTCACTAAGCATGCAACAAGATTCAGTTTCCGCCAATCTCGAATGTAGAATGCCAAGCCAGCATAGAAAACAATCCCAACACTGAATACACAACCATTAAGACATCCTACCAAAGCCCTTTTTGAAGGACCTATCAACTCCATTGTGAGCACGAAATTGCTCAACCCACCACTTCCAATGAAGCCATCCAAGAACCTAGAGAATAAAGTGATCATTCATCTGATATAGAAAGCTAAAAATGCCTTCATCAGCAATTTAACAGCTGCTAATGTCCTACCTGAAGAGAAAGAAGGAGAGGAATCCATTGGCAAAGGAGCAGGCTGCTCCAAAAGCTGTGCTGAAAATAATTGAGAGGAAGAGGATGGGCTTGCGGCCATAAGCATCAGAGACTCTGCCAAGCAATGGGGCACCCACCATAAGTCCCAGCATAAACAGCCCTTGGCCCATCCCAACCAAGTATTGTTTATCACAAACCATGTCCCACTGAAATACGAAAAAAAGGAAAGACTCCTTCAAATCTAAAAAGACTTCTGAATATGAGAATGATGCTACCAAATCCATGCATTTTTGGATGAGAGAAGCTTAAATCAACTCACAGAAGTGGCAATGGAATTGAGTTGTGAGTCATACTCCAACCTTGTGCATGTAGATGTAGAGTCATTGAAGCAAGCATCATGCATAAATTGAGTTTCATTCTTGGCATAGCAGATGAAATGTGGTTTTGCACCTGAAAATTCACAAAACAGATATCTCACAGCAAAAAATAAATATTCTGCTTTGAAGATTAATTACAATATATCCCATACCGATGAAGATCATTTGAAGATAATGTGGAGGAACAGATAGTACAATGAGGCTGAGCCAAACAAAATAGATCCCTTGCTGCCGACCAAACTCTCCAATTTTCTCATAAACCTGATCCACATCCATGACTCCCTTTCTGGACCTTCAATATTGGCCTACACCTTTAATTACAACTGTCAAGCAGACAACTTTTACACTTTTGACCACTTTCCAGTTGCAAGAGACAATCTATTGCATACAAGAGTGATTTTGGGTAAAAGTCAGACCACCTGGTGACACCTTGGAACTTTCTTCTTATGCTACACTTTTCCTTGTTTGGATTTGATTCAAGCTCAGCCTCAAGCCAGCTCAAAAAAAATTATAATGGTCAGAGTCTGACCTGTTTGAAATTAACTCAGCACCACCCACAAATTTGCCATGAGATTGGTAAACTAACATGATTTGAAAACTCCTAGGACAAGAGATTGACACCCTTGGGACAATGGTGCCAATACAAAATCATATTTATGACTCAAAGATGCACATGCATGTTTTTGTGCAATATGTATTTATTTGTGATTCATTTCTACATGAGATTTGGAGAGACAGATTGGATTTGATTTGACAGATTGGAGAGATTTGGAAGGAGTGCATGACTATAAATTGAATTCATGACTTCCATGCAAACTGTACAGGGTGGGCCAAAAAAATATTGGGTTATCTTTGACACTTCACAGAGTAGTTTCTTGATAGTTTTAAAACATTGAAATAGCATCACTATATAAAACATTTATCTAATTTTCCATTGATGTCAAAAGATAGAAGATCCATTTAGTCGTTCTGATGCTGTTACACATGATTTAACAGGTTGCACTTGGAATGTGCACTTACCATTAACCTATAAGATGTGCTCTAGGTCAGTGGTTCTTAAACTCCCTTTTACTCCCATAGAAGATCCATGTGCCCGGTGGTCAGCAGACCACAAATTTAAAATCACTGCTTTAGGTGACATTTATTCCTTCACTTGCACATTCACAATCTTGCCAGGATGTTGATCACTATTCCAGCACGAACACTTATGCTCTTTATCTAACTGCATGAAAATTATGCCATGAATCTTTATTCTGCTGACATCATTGGAAAGCTGAAAGTTCTATACAGATAGGCTATTGCAATTTTAGCAAACTCTTGGGGACCAGTGCAGTGGAAACAAAGATAACCCAAGTTTTTTTGGCCCACCCTGTATTAAGAATGAAAAGCTCTGGTTATTTAACTATGGTCATTATCTCTGAGAGAAATGGAGATAAAATTGTGAATTTGCTCCATGATTGGGTGAAGAGAAACCCAGAGGTAGTACTTGGAAAATGTACCACTCGGAACAATACCCTCTCCCGTGTTTGTGTGTCTATCTGTCTGTCTCTCTCACTCTCTCTCTCCACCTTATTGTGCAGATTGGCTTGTTGTTATAAACTCCAGATACAAGTATCAATCATTAATTATTTCATTCATGAGTGAAAGACAATCATCAGCATTTAAATAACCCTTATGCAAACATGTCTCAAATCTAATACTGAGAAATACAGGGTGATCATAGGAAAACTGGTCCAAGTTTTCTGCAGCTTCTTTGTAAAACGAATGGCAAAAAGAGATTCTCTTCATAACAATGGCTGATGGAGTATAACAAAAAAAAGTTAGATGGTGCTTCACTTGCTGTATGCGATGCTGCAAGCAATTTCCAAAATGCAGAGGACTCTCTTTGGTAGTCTTTATTATGTCTTGCTATGCTGAGGCTTGTAGATAGCTGAATGTGTTGCTTTGATGAGGTGTTCCTATCACCATGACCATGCCTGTGGTCCCAAATCTGACAGTAAGTGTTCCTACCATCTGTCTTATTTGATCCACTGCATAAATTCACTTCAGTCCATATAGTACAAAGAGGAGCATTCATGGAATATCCCTTGATAGTAACACCCTACCAATGCAAAACATTTTACAATCACCAGCTCTGGATTTCTGAACCACGATGGTGGTTACAAGGGGAGAATCCTCTGTATTTTGGATATTTCTTATAGTGTCATATACAGGTATATCAACAGGAGCTCCATCAACCACATAAAAAAATATTTAAAAATTCAACTCCACATAACCCTCAACAATGGCACAGAGTGGCATCCCATTTCAAAAATAGAGCAAAGAAAAGCCCTTAACCAATTTCTTTATATATATACTTCCATCATATCTCTTCAAAAAATAGGAAGGACATAGAAGCTAGAATATCTTTCTCTCTTTGGTTTGACAGGAAGCATCACATAATCTTACATGTCAGGTTCCAAAGGAAGTCACATAACTACTGAGATTATATTGTTGCAATGAAAGACTTTCGTAATAATCATGGTCACTGGTAGATAATACATAAATGCAAAACTCAGACTGATGCCAGGCATATGAGCCTTGTGTCTTATGACAAAGCACAGAGGAGAATTGATAGGACATAGAATTCATACTGGTAAGATTCATGAGAGTATAGTATTCAACTAGCAAATGCATAAAGCTTTTGACTTTGGATTAACATGCATTCCTCCATCATGACTGTCCAAGAAGGAACATATTTTGTAGTCAAGATCCAAGCTGTGTCAGTCAATAGATATCATTTCCACCCAATTCAATGAATTATTGTACAACCATGCATCATGATACCAGAGAAGGGTAAAAAGAGGCAAGTTCTGATACATGACTTATACAAAATGCCTGACTGCATACAATCCTTGCCTCCTTGAAACTTGGAGGGGCATATTATCAAAGACAAATAATTGCAAATCACCCATTTGCGTTCAGTTTCCCTTCAAAATGAGATTTCAAAGCATTCAGAAATGTGGGGATACCAAAGTTTCATGATCCCTCATTATCCTTCATGAGCCTACTCCATCCATAACAGGTCTGTCTGAAGAGGTGAAAATGGGCATGTCATTTCATTAACACAGCTGCCAAGGGCATTGCTGGTAATACATTTTCAATGTTAAAAATTATGTTTGGCAGTCAACATGTTAATGGGGATCACAGATCCAGTATGGGCCTTCAATCCAAAAAGTGACTGCACCAGGTCATCAGAAATGAACATGAGACTCAGCATGAATCCATGGAGGAATGTCTCATACTCTTGAGACTAATGAAACCTGAACAAGTAAAAAATCATAATACACTAGAGCACTTCCAAACCAATATAGGATACCCTAAAACACAAGTGATACTGTGATTGATGAATGGATGATATTCCTGCATTGTTTTCATTTTCTTCAAGACTGCCAATTGGTGAAGAGTTCAGAAAAGGTTTGAGGATTAACCCAGTAAGCATCACAAGAAAGAGTGAGTTAAGCAAAATAAAAAATGTAACAGATATAGCAGCTGCACAATAATCGCCAAATACTGCCCAAATGCTTCCCTAGCCTTTCAAGCCATCCAAGACAGATGATAATGTGATTCTAGCTTAAATGGCACTCCCAATCATGAAATGCCTATTCTGAAATATTCATTTTCACAGAGTGCAATATAATATTTGTTCACTCTCATTTTCAGATTGTCCATACAGTGCTATTATGCAATTCAATATCTTTTTAAGCATTCAGGATCATAAAACTCTATCCATTTGGCATTTCTTTGGCATATGAATACAGATAAATTGAGGAGTTCATCCTCTCTGAATCTAAAGGCAACGTAATACTATAAAATTGCTTTCCTCATCACATGTGCCTTCTTCCTCTCAATACATGCTTTGGGATAGCTCAATTTAGTGAAGAGACAATACAAAAAATGTGCAAAATGAATGAATGAAGGACTGTGCGCCACTATTCCTTATCACAGAGAGGAGGATCTTTGTAAATTAATCAGTCATGGAATTCAACAAAAAATACACAAGCATGTGACATGGCTGACTTTTCAGCCAATTATAAGGATTTGATTTTCAAAGGATGGCAATGAATCTGAAACTGAATGGACAACTGGATGAATTAATTCATGCAGATGCCTAGCTATGTCTGGATCTTGGAAGTCCTGGATATAACATTACCCTAAGAATAGGCACCCATTCCTGGAATTTAAAAACACCAAGATAGCATTGCAATAACAATGAAAGAGATGCATGAAGAGTGAATCCAAACACTGCAGCTTGCAGATAGCATAATTTGCTGAGAGCAGGCAGGTGGACACACTGGTACAGTAGTTTCTGCAAGAAGATTGCATGAGGTTCATTACTCACCACATTAGACTAGGAATTCTACAATTTACAAATTTCCATTTTAGTGGAAAACTTCACTTACCAAAGATTGCAACAGTGGCTTGAGATGAACCAAGTTTATTGCCAGCCCAACATGTATAATTCCCAAACTGTTTCTTCTCTATACTTAAGACCTTGAGGCTGGTAAAGGCCTTATCATCTGTGTCAGAGAAGATGCCCATCCTGGAAGTAATGTACATGATTCAATAATGCTTTGTTAGTTTTAGCTCATGAAAGAATGTAATGTGAGTGGAGTGACAATGCCATCTAACTGATTTTTACCAATAAAAATTTAGATAAGTGGTGAGAACTTCTAGTGAGGAGACAGAGCTGAAAGCAAAACTTTGTTTACATGACCCACATAAAGCCAGGAAATGGTCATAGTTTTCAACTATGACCATTTCCTAACTTTTCCAGACTATGACTAAGAATGGACATGGAAATGGTCACTCAAAGATCATAGCTCGAGTTTGGAGAAATTGGATACATTGCTGATTGTACCTTGCTGATTAATAAATCATAGCAGTTTTCACAAATTTGGCTTCAAAACAAGGAAATGACCAACACCTGCTGCAATTAGAACATTTTAATTCCAAATCAATTTTACTTAGTAATTCCACTTCTTACTCAAATCTTACTTCTTACCCAAATCTTACTCAGTAATTTCAAATCAATGATTTGGAATTACTGAGTAAGCTTTGGGTTTCTCAAATCCCCTCAGTTGGAAAGTGTTCATTTTCTTTCAGTGAAAAAATTTTTGAAAAAAATGGAAAAAAATATGAGGCACTGCCCCTCCTATCTCAATACAGGTCTATCAAGTTCTTACTGATAATGCCTGCTGTTGGTGAGTTGGTTGCCATCCTTGTACCAAGCAATAGCAGCTGGAGGGTATGATTCCACCATACAATCCATATAGACATCATATGTGAGAGCCTGGAAGACTCTGGATCTCACAGTTGTGACAATAGGGGAGATCTCAACCTCAACATGTACTCGCCTGCTCACAGCATGTGAGACTCCATTCCAAGCCATGCAGTAATAAAATCCACGGTGCTCTCGCTTCACTGACTCAATCATCAATGTTCCATTCCTGTGAAAAAGACAAGCTGAGTGATCATCATCATCATCATGATTTGACAAGAAAGGCAAGAAATTACTGACTGATGTATGACTCTTCCATTAGGAAAAGGCACATTATCCTCTCTTCTCCATGAGATCTTTGGAGTTGGAAACCCTCTAGCACTGCACTTCAACATAAAACTCTCATGTTCAGAGACCAGTACTGAACTGCTGGACTCATCTGAGATCACTGGAGGCATGAGGACACGAAAGCCAGTCTCAGCTTCTCGCCATGTGTTGACATCAATTTGGATTCTACAAATGTAGTTGCCATTATCTGATTCTTGTATACCTCTCACCTGCATAAGGAAGTAGTCAACTTAAATTTCTTCTTACCAATAGAGTATCAGTCTTAAAAATCAGAAGGGATGCCTCTCAACCTCAAGAATGTAATTATAGCTGTCAAGGCCAACACGAATCTTGGAGACGGAGACCCGATCATCTGGGATGATCCTGGTTGTACCCATGCTGAGAGGAGTGTCCACTGACTCTCCTCCAGAACCCTTCTTGATCCACAGCACTGCATACTCTCCTGGATATTGCACTGAGCATTTCAAGAATGATGTCTGTCCTATCCGTGCCAGCTTCTTGCTAGATACGTATGAAATGGTTGGCTGCCTCTGCCCCTCTATGTTCCAGAAAAGAACTGAAGGAGGAAAATGACTTAAAATCAGGGGATCAAAGGCCTCTCACTATGGGAGTTCATGGAGCTTTTAAAATTGAAAGAAACATTAATTCTCTGCTTATCAGTGATAATATTTGATTAGCTGGGATGACATTCGCTAAAAAAAAAAAAAAAGGCCCTGTCTAAAATTGTTTAGGTCCTTACACCACGAATAGCAGGTGCAGAGTAAAAAATACATTGTTGTTGAACTGTCCATATCAGGCAAAGCCTCAGTTGCATATTGTTCCATTAAATATGCTTCTCCATCTTGCCTCTATTGTAAGTTTTTAAAATCAGTTTAGACACAAAAGCACTTTGAAGCTGATGACTAAAAGTTTTGGAAATCCTCAAGTCCTAGGAGATTCACTTAACTTGGCCAGTGCACACTTTCATCCATAAAATAGCTCTGTCTGCATTAGATAACATCATAATCAAAACTGAGGCAATAAAAATGGATGTGAAAGTGTTTAAGTGTAGGGGAGGGTGGGGCACCATGGAACACTTTTTTGAGGGCCTGCAATTCAAGTGGTTTTTTTCCTCAGAAGCAATGGAAGGCTCTGTGTAAAGACTCATAACACCTGCACAATTCTCTGTTTCAAATTTCCCAACCAAGTCATTTTAAAATGAGGCACCCATTTTGACCCATTGTACCCAATATGGAGTGACCAACTGTATCCCAACACAAGCCATTAAAATGAAATCTGGATAACAAGCAAAGTAGCAATTGCAGCACATTCATGCAGGCACTGAACTACCAAACTCCCAAATCATATCCCAGCAAGAATCAAGACTTTTCATCAAAAGAAGGAAGCAGGAAAAATCGAGATGTCACTTTCAATTTAAAATAAACTAAAAGAAGCATCTGCAACATAACAATGTCCACACAATCTGCACTTTGTGTGGGAACTACTCTTTTTTTAAATACAATTTCCTGGCATCTAAGCTGGAAGATGTATAGCAGACAACATAAAGAGAAACAGCATTGGGAGAGCTCTTAACAGCCTGACCCACTGTACCCTGTGATGCCCCACTCTCACCGACCAGTGGTAATTCAAGGAGAGACTAACAGGTAGGGATTTCCAAATATTTAAATAATGATTTTCAATGTGCTTCTGTGGCTCAACCAGAAGGGAGAAAGTTCCAGAAATTTGTTGCATGGATGACACAACATAGGTGCACATCCTGAAACATGCATACCTATAACCATGACTGATTTCTAGGTATAGCAATTCAGATGGTAGCATGCTTTTTTAATATTCATGACCTCAAAGTTCAAACATGAACTTGAAAAAAACCTTCATTCCAATGAAGAACTTTGCACTTCACAAACACAAGCAGTAACCCACTCCATCAGCTCTTGATTATTCAATTCAATTCATGGTAAATTTCAAAAAGCTAGAAAAAATTAGCCTGCTTTTACCCCTTTTCAAGATCATCTCAATTTATCCTATTTCATGTACTTTGAAGTCTAACTTCCCTGAGTTCTTCTTTAAATAAGTACACATGCAGGTGAAACTTGCAAGTCATTGTGAAAACATACATGCTGATAGATAAAGATAATCTCAAATTCATAAGTAGTAATTTCTGATTCACGTAGCGCAAACAATATCTAGGATTTACTTATTGTACTACACCTGAACAGCCAATATTTCTCTATATGTATTACTTAAAATTAACAGGTGGCACTCTTTAATTGCAAAAATGGAGGAACAGTATTATACCTCTCATGGATGGCAATTCAGAATAGCATTAAGGTAAAACACAATTTCCCAAAATATTCAAGTAACAAGAGTAAATTTCCAGATTCACTACAGTTGACTCCACACAAGGGAATACCATTGCATGATCCTGATTTACAGTATAATACAGTAAATAGTTTCAGTTATTGGAATACTCTGGATAGTAGAATAAATTTCACTGGTCCCATGAGTATACCATTATGCAGAGTTGACAGTAGTTAGCACCTATCCTCAAGAGAACCTGCAACTTTAACCATTTAGCTTTCATCTAAACAATGGCTATTTTCAAGAAATAAAATTTGGGGTTCAAGGGAAAGACTCACTATCTTTAGCAAAGCAAATGTGGGCAATGTGACAGGCATAATAAAATGCTTTTCACTGGGTGACAAGGCAAGCAAAAAAAAAAGCATTCATTTGCTCAATATGACATAGGAAGGTTTATGTGAATTTAAAATGCTAATAGTCAAAAGAGATTTAGTGCATGAGCTGGCTTACCAAAGCACAACATTACCCTGAGGAGAAACTGAGGGCCATGCAATACAGCAAATCTTCCCATCATTTCACTATAGATATGGCAGAAAACTTCAAGGAATAGCAAGTGCAGTTTATCATGCATCTGCTTCCCTGGATGGAAAGGTAGGAGAGGGAAATTTCGGTATAAATGTCCCTTGGTCTTCCATTGGTTTGAACACTTGCACAAGTGTGCATATAGGTATGTTTTGCTCTTATTTATGCAACATAGAAGGAAAAGAAGTGGAGCTCCAACACATGCAGGACAGACTCATGCAGAAACATCCATGCTGAATAATGAGTTAGTTCATTAGTTGGTTATGTGCAAAAATATACAGACAGCCATTTTTTCACCAATTGAAGCAGAAATGCATTGAGTTTCATTCTCGAATGCAAGGCAAATGACCTCAAGTCAGATCAGCCTCTGCTCCTCAGGCCATCATAAAAAAGGAAAGTTCATCTTCACTTCTGCCATGATTGAACTTTGACCAACAATTCACAAGCAGTAAAAAAAAAAAGCTTTTATTCTCCTCAAAGTAATCTCAGCTGAGCATCATGCTAGTTGTCATCTCTGACTGGCATACAAGAGAAAAGTGTCATGAGTATCTGTGGATATATAGATGGGACCTGGACAGAATATTGAACATATAAGATTAAAACAATGCAGGAAAACCAGGATAAAGCTCATGAGCCAGCTTACAAAAGCCATGAAAGCCTTGAATTGAGGACATGAATATTATCATAAAATCAATACCAGGGGAATAAACTCATGAACATGGAACACAAATCACACTCAATGAGAAACATAGAAATTGTTCAGATCAACAACAGCTGCCATACTCACAAGCAGAGAGGAAATTTCTCGGCCATAATAGTTCAATGAGATATCCAGATATGACAGAAGGAATGGCCAACAGTTGCAGTGAGGGATGGTGAGAATAAATCCATCAACATGCAAATATGAATCATACTTGTGTCATCATGAAGTATACTATTGCTCTAATAGACAACAGTCATACTCACACGAAGAGAGGTAACACCTTGGCCCATATGGCACCATGAAAAGTGCAGGTATGATACAGAAGGAATGGCAAACAACCACAAGAAGGGACGGACTTTTGTCTGAGATCACAAATATAAGATGAAAGTGTACTCCCCATCTCTGACGTTGGGTTCAAGGTTGATAAAGAGGGCACAAGACTTCATCAATGTAAGAATCCAGTTAGAAAAGCATAGCAGTGAAAAGAGCACACAGGATGATGGCCAGGGTTCCAAAGCTCTGAGCTTGCATCACGCTCCGTCCAATTGTAAACAAATTCTGGCCACAGGCAGGTGGACAGACAGGGATCACCGTTTCTGATGGAATTAAGGCAGAACTTAAAACTTGTGCAACTTAGACACATTTCAAATGAAATTGCAATAGGAATGAGACCACTCACCAAACAGTTCAACTCGTCCCTCAGCAAGCCCAAGCTTGTTCCCTGCCCGGCAGGAAAAATTTCCATACTGCTTCTTTTCAATTGTCAGAACTCGAAGAGTAGTGGCAGTAAACTCATCAGCAGAGGCAAAGTTGGATATCCTGCAATGAGTCAAGAACCAGGTCATAAACTTTGTTCTTCAGACAATATCAAATCTAAGCATAAAATATGTATTACGTGTAGTGCTGATTGTTGCTAAGCTGGAAACCATCCTTGTGCCATGAGATTGCAGGTGGCGGATAAGCTTCAATGTGGCATTCCAAATCCATATCATACTGGAGAGCCTGGCCAACACGAGGACGGGGTACTGAGATGACAGGAGAAAATTCCACCTCAACTGCAACATTCCTTCGAGCTCCCTTTCCAACAGTGTTTTCTGCCACACAGTAGTAAGTACCCCTATCTTCTTTCTTGATGCTGTTGATAGTGAGTTTGTTGCCCCTTTTGGAAGAAAAATAATTCACAGTTTAGAAGTCAAAATCAAGATATCTTCACATGAAGTAGAAGGACTCACCGATAGATGGCACCACCAGTGGGAAGGACGGCATTGTTTTCTCGTCTCCATGAAACTCGTGGAAGTGGATAACCAGAGGCATAGCATTCCAGGGTGACAGACTGCCCCTCACTGACAACAACAGATCGAGTTGAATTGTCTGATATCACTGGAGGTTGACGGACTGACAACAGGACATCAGCTGTGATCCTGTTTTGTACTGTGATCAGCACCTGGCACTGATATGTACCAGCATCAGCCTCTTGAATGTCCTTGATCTGGAAAAAAAATTCTCATTGACAACCAAGTTCTACACTTATGGCTTAACTTCTCTGCATGTGGTACTTCTAGGCTTTACCTGCAAAGTGTATGTTGAACTGGCAGTGTCATGCCTAAGTGAAAATCGATTATCTGGCACAATGAGTGTGGTTCCTGTTGAGATTGGAGTTGCTCCTGAACTTGACCGAGGATCTAACTTCAGCCACAGGACAGCATAATCTCTGGAATACTGGACAGAGCATTTCATCTCCACAGTTCCCCCTATGTTGATAATCTGCTCTTGCGAGATATATGATATTGTAGGATTCCTTTGACTCCATCCTCCTGTTAAATACAAGGGCATAACATGTAAAAGTTATGCAAGGCATCCTGAAATATATTGCATTAAGATATCACTTTCAAAGATAGACACTGCATAGGGTAAACACCCCAGTTTTTGGCCACACTGATACGACTCCCAAAGTAAGTTGACACCCTGTGCACACACCGGGAAACACTAATAATAGGTCCTAATATGGGAAGATGTTGATAGAATGCTTGAGAACGGCCAGATTAACTAATAATACTGGACTTGAGCCTCACTGGCCAACAACTTAAGACTGGCCAGAAACTGGGGTGCTTACCCTAGTGTTCTTTATTGGAAGTTGATTCCAGGGGGATGAACTCATAGTCAGCAGATATTTCACAACCTGCCAAGAAAGGCTTACACTGATCAATTAGTGATTCATGAACTCCTTTCATTTCATCTTGATACAAATATGCAAATCACCTAAGTTTTACCTACTGCTGGTGATAAATTAATTCAATTACATTTTTATATGGACTCATACAAAACTTGGTGAAGTTAGGTGCTTGAGATTTGATTTAAAAAGGTTCACATAATACTAAGAACATGTAAGATTAATCAATGGTGAGCAGATTTATTAAATGCTCCTAATTATTTAAAAAATGTAATAGTAATGCATAGGCATGCATGAGGAACTAAGCTGTCAAGGATTAGGTAGTGGGGGCAGTACATATAGGACCACATCTTCAGGGAATTGACATTTATTCTTTGGTGCATATGTGCCACCAGCAGAAGCAGGGTCTCTTCATATCCAATCTATATGCTTCTTGATTGCTTAGGACTTGAATGTCATTGATGAACATCAAGAACCTGGTCCATCCCTCTTTTTTTTTATTTTTTTTTTAATTGGGAGGAAGTTACTGACATTTCAACCGAGACTCATACAGTTTGAAGACACAATTGCTTGATTTATTACAAAGAGTAGCCATCAAAACTGTAAGACATAACAAGGTATAGGCCAAACTCAAGTATCATATGAATAATAAACAAGCAAGGGAATACAATTACATACAAATAGTCAGCTACTGCCTTCACTCAACTGGATACCTTTCCTGGGACCTCATTGCAGTGTGAAATAAGTAACACTTAGAGCTTATATCCTGTCAGTCTAGGGCATTGGTGTCCAATAGGATTTTGATGCTCACCAAACTTGTGGTGATCAGGTCATCATCTTCACCACATGATAAAAAAATATATGGAATATTAATGAAAAGAATGTGCAATCTTTGGAAAGTAGGTTTGAGGTCATCATCGATTCGCCATGTGGTTAGGGGCAAATGTATTGGACACCATGGGTCTAGGGCAGGGGGTGTCCAACTCAATTTGGCGGGGATCAAATGATTTGGTTCAGATGTGTTTGGGGGCCTCACTAACAAATATCACATCACATACACCACATTTTTAATGCAAACAAGAGAAATTTGCTGCAAATTTCCTAAATCAACTGTTTAAGAGGAATTCATGGGTCAGAGAAAATGAAATGGCAGGTTTGACGAAGCCTGCAGGCCACTAGTTGGACACCCCAGGTCTAGGGTGACTAGACATACCAGTTTTACTGGGACTGTCCCAGTTTTTCAGGCTATGTCCTGGTTCAGAAACTGTTCTGGTTTTTGGAGGATGCAAAGAACCAATACAAAAAAAAACTAAAATCCACTGACATTTCCAAAGGAAAAACAAGAATGTATAGCAGTCAATAAATCTCAAGGATTGAATTTCCCTTTCCATTCTGGTGTCCTGATTTTTCACATTGCAAGGACTAACATTTGGACATTTTCAAGAAAAGTCTTTTTTTTTTCTGAAAAATATCTGGTCACCCTATATCAGTCCCATGCTGAGCCACATCTCACTAGAAAGACAAGAACTCTGCATGGGTTGAAAATCTGCATTTACATGCAGAAAGTCTGCTTCAAGTGAAAGGTCAAACACGCAAAAAATAACTCACCATCTTATATTCTTCCACAAGACACATGCTATCCACTTGAGATATCTACAGGGTATTATACCTTCATTACAGTGCTTTCATAAGTTCATACATCCCCACAATGACAATGGTGCCAGTGGGGTTTTGACTCTTGGGATACTTATTGAATACCAATTCACATCATACATGAGACTGGAGGAAAAATTAGTTGCAATGGTTTCAGTAGGCACAAAGAATGTTATAGCCTGCCTTAAAAGAGCATGTGAACTCATTGTGAGAGTACTTTAGGCCTCATAGGAATTATTTATTTATTTTCAGATATTATTTTCTTTGAATGGAGGCCTCAGCAAAGTCTCCTCTGAAACATGAGCATTTGTATTCTTTGCCTGTATAGGTTTGGTTTCCTATATCAAATTAAACTCCACCCTTTTGCAATATGTCAAACTAAACTCACCTTGTATGAAAGATGCCAAAACTAGAACTAGAACTGGAACTGGAACTCTGACCATTTTGAAACCTGATTGATACAAACAAGAGATGAGAGCACCAATCAAAAATGAGCATCATATCTACCTGCAAGAATGACATAGGCCTAGGCCCTTGACAGGCCAAAACATGTTTGAAAACAGCATTTAGAAAATTTCTGAGGATTATGCAAGGAAGCCTGTTGAAAGTAGAACCTGAATAAGATACCTGAATAACCTGTATAATTCTGAATATTTTTCTGGTCCCATGAAGTTCAGTTTTAGATAGGTTCTACTGAGTTGAGCCTAGGCATATATTATCACATGCCAGGAAAAAGGGCAAATATGCTACTTTGAACATTTTCAGGAGGGCAAAAATGTATCTTTCTCCCAAAGAGAAGAATAATTATTGGAGAATATTTACTTTCACACCAAGGGCCATGGATAGTGCTAATTTTCTTGCCTTGAGGGCCCCTAGGACTCTCAAGTCTTATAAGAAAGGGTCACTCAGAAAAATTTGGGGGCTCCATCGCAATGAAGCATGATGAAATCTAGCAAAGTTGCACAAAAAGTTCCAAATCCCAGAGGCAATGTTTTTTCTTTGACTTAACACAACAAAAAGCATGATATTCAATCCAGCAGCCTTAGGGCTACTTCCAACATTTTCTCTTTGACAAATATCCCTAGGGCTTCAAATTTGCAAATTACACATTTCTGCATATTACGACTGCCAGATGCTGAGTAGGGATTTTTCTTATTTGCATTTGAGCAGAAACCATAGGAAGCTCTTCCATCTCTATAGGAAAGTCAGGAATACATGTTGACCCACGCCTTTTCCATTTTTTAAATCTTTTTTTCATTCGTTGTGATTCATGGTTCACAAGCTGCCCATTTTCATAATCGCCCACGTCCACCTCTTTCCCTTTGGTTTGAATAGGTCAAGGCCTACGGCGATTTTCCCTTCTCTGTGCACTCTTTGGTGAAACGATGACATCACCTTCGTTTAGAATTAAGACCTACGCTGTTGATATCTTTCTTTATGTGGCACTAGGCCCATGTTCAGGAATACCTGAACGTACGCCAACGTGTGATTCTAAGAAACTAACATCGTACATTTTCCGCTTGTAACTGAACGAGTGGAGTGTTGGCTCAGACCGCCCTGAAGTCTAAATTGAAACGAACGGAAATACGTCATGAGCGCGAGACCACAATGCAACATGCGCCGCTCTCGTCACTTTCACGTCGGGCACCTTCCTCGGCAAGGACTACCACCCCCCCTCCCCCTTCCTGCCACTAATAAGATTGCGCACGGGTTTATTTAGGCACGGTTCTAAGAGGGAACTGCCAACTGGTTTTCAGACCAGTCAGAAATATAGAAATTTACCGCGCGTCCCTGATGTTTTTCTGTTGTGCGTCCCTTCAGAATTTTTTGCGTATAGGGCGAAAATTTGCGCGTAAACGCAAGCCCTGAAGGACCTTGGACTTTCAGCTCTCTGATACAAAGGTTTATATATCCCAATATTCATTCTTCTATCTTAAAAATGGGCATTTTATTGCCATTCTGTAATATACACTAAAAAAAAATGCGTAACCTAGTTTTCCTTAAAAATCTGAAGGTCTGATTGCAAAACTGGCCCATCTGCAAAAAAATGTTTCTCAAACGCCAGAGGGAAGCAGTGAATATTGTATTAACTTTCTTCTTAAAAGCAAGGAAAAGTGGTATGTCACTGGACCTATGGACTTTCTGTATCATAAATCCCAAAAAAATGATCCACAAAAAAGTTAAACTATGGATTATGGGTATTAGATCAACAACCAAATTGATTGGCATTTTTACAGATAACTAATTATCTTATCAGCCCTTCCATTAAATCCAACTTTTATTGAAAAAACACCCCCAAGTGCTTAATTTGAAAATCGAACATCTTACATACTCCCCTCCCTTACTATAAGGTGGACTATTGAAACACTCCATATGCATATGCTGGAGACTCGTGGCATAGGCATTAGACTTTGACTATTTTTTTTTAGTTGAAGCATGATTGAAACGAAAATCAGCTGCAGCTAACAAGAATAAAATAAGCATCAATGCCTCAATACCTGAAAAAAACTGAGGAAACCAGTCAGAAACATGTAGGGCTCATTCTTTTAGATGAAGAAGGGAGATGGTACAGGGTTGAAAGACATCCTTCAGATGGTTATGGGAACTCTAGCTGTATGAAGGAAAGCTCCATATTGTTGAAACAAAAGGCTTGGATACAATAACTGCCCTTGCTGGTTGTGCACTTAAAGAAAATAAATGTCAGAAATATGTGACCCAACCTGGTAACAGTCACAGAGATTGCATGTCTTCTCTTGGTCCTACAAAAAATACTACCAGTATTCAAATCATCTCTACCTTGCTCTGGGAAACCAGAGGGTCTGGTGAAGTGATTTGAGTTGACAGCATGCATGTCCCAGAAATAGATGAAGGCTATGGGACAGGAATGCATATAAACAAATACTAATTGGGGCACATGGCATGGCCTCTCTGGGTTGTTGCAAAGGCCTGTGATGAATTTTCTATAGTGTGTGAAATTGTGCTTGTGCATTATTGAGGGAAATTGGATGAGAGTATGAGGTAAAACCATCTAAGTTTGGACACTATAACATATTTTGTTATAAAACTAAGCACTTACAAGTTTACCTCAGAAAAAATTATTCCTAGCA